TAGAGCTTTACGAGCTAATAAGTCTATGTCCGTTGTGTATGTTTTAAAAACTCAAATACAACAACTCGATATACGTTTTATCTATTTTTCGAGTCACTTTTGTTGCCACAGCGAAGCTTGGTAGGGAACAGCTAGTGTATAATAAAGCGAGTTAAACTCTTACGTCATACAAGAAAACAAAACTTCTCCGTTTAGGTAACATGGTGACCTAAAATACTAATCAGGAGAATCTTACTTATTTTAAGTGCAGTACAGATGGTAACAACCGACTCTGAGTAACCATTTATCTTAGTCAGTGGGAAATAAAAACATGACTGGTGGTGATACGCTGGTGTTAAAACCACAAAAATCAACGTTTATATTTAGATTGCTTTGTATATTGGTGAATCATGATTTTTGTCACCTTTATCAGACACTGTTTTTGTATAAATATAACTGTTTTTACGTCATGTACCTCTCAATGCCAACGTTAAACTGTCTTCGTGATCCTTTTATTAGCACATGTTGCAAAAGGTATTGTATGTCGACGTTGGTTCGAAATTTAGAAGCAAATACGATAAGAAATGAACAAGATTTCACACAAATTATTTCGATACTTTTGGTTTATAGGCTGATTACTAATTTCGTTTATATTTTGACAACTGTATTGCACAAAATTTAAAGGACACAGTAGGAGTAGCTAGTTTCTTATTAGTTGATATTTATACTTGTAGTATAAGACGGTACGTCAACGGAAAATACCCTATAAATTTTGATTCTTTTGAGTGTCGAAATTTATGTTTTTTGCAGCATAAACGGCCATATCTTTTTCAAGAGACTGTAGACCTGAGTAGATTGTTTTCATTTCAACTAGACACCTCCACACGTTCCCGAAATAAAGGGTCTCGACAGACCGACGGACGGATGGATGGACAACAAAGTGGATGGAAAACAAAGTTTCTTTTTGAGGCACGGGACCCTAAAAATAGGTACTTTATTGAGAATTTCCAAATCTCAACCCTAAAAATAATCATTAAAGACTAAAAACTACAATTGTTACTTCTTTGAACAGAATTAATTAGTGATGTTGAAACTGTTTGCATGTTAATTAGATCTTAGATGCTACTTCACAAGTAAGTATTTCTGAAACTGGGACAGTTAACAATTAGTATGCTGCATGAAGAAAGGCATGGGCTGACACCATTCATAGTTTGTAATGCATTTATTTGAATTTAATAGATTCACAGCTGTAAAATTATTCTCTTAAATTTCGAATTTCTAATGATAAAAAATTGTTCACTTTTTTTATCAACTAATTTATAGAATACGAGCTGTACCCTGCCATGCTTTGTGGTACATTATAGTTGCAAAAAATTTATGAAAACCATCTTTGAAGTGTGTTGTATAAAGTGTCTAAATTTGAGTTCAATTGGTGCAGAACTTTTCAAGATTTTAAAATATACACAAACTAATTTAACATTTATATATAGATTATTTTACTTTTTTAGATAACCTTCAACAAAGAGTATCATATATGAAGGTTGATATGCAATAATTACAAATTATTAAAACTTTTTAAAGGACTTTTCTGTAGAAGCTTTTAGTCCTGCCTAATGAGATGAGTTTTCTTATAGAGTATGGTGCTATTTGATTTTGTAATATGTTACAGATTTTTCATCATTATCTCTATAGCAGTATAGCCAATTGAATTGTAGATTGAAGGAATAGATTAATAATACATTAACTTTTTAAGCTTTAACAGGCACTATTCTTATAAGTCTACACAGCTACTAACCAGCCAATAAGACATACTAAAAGACTTAAAATCTATAAAAATATATTAAATAAAGGATAGGATCTTTAGTTTTATGATAATTCTGCTGTCTACTCTTCTGGAGACATGTTCCATAAATTAGGCATGAAAGAGAAAAGAAAAATCTACAAATATATATTTTTGGAACAACACAAAACAACAAAGAAACATTAAATTCCATTTTGTAAAGTTAATTATTATTGTTTGGATGATTGGACTTTTTCCATTCTTGTTATGCTTGTTGGAATAGTTATTATGTTAACTAAACCACTACTAACAATAACAATTTTATTTAAATTTCTTTAATTTTAATCTGATGAAGGCATTTACAGTTATTTAGAGCGCTTGGTATCACTTTTTCTATTAAATTCTAGAATTTTAATCATTAATTCTAAATAAAATTCATTTAGTGCATCAACTCATTTGTACTTACATGAGTACTTTTAATGAAAAGAAAGTGTTCCACAGCTTCCTATGCACACAAATGTATTGTAAATCCCGGATTTTCGGAAATAGCGCGATACTATAAGCACTCACCTCAATTAACAACACTTGCACAAGCACTGCTGTAAATAATTTACGACGAATAGGTATTTCTAGTCAACTGAATGAACACCGGTTACGAGATACGACTTCAAACCACGACCGACTTGGCACAATTCCATAAGATCAGTGTAGGAATACATGCGTACAGAGCCTCCGATGCAACACTGATAATTAAAAGCAATTGTCAGGCGCCTGGGAGACGAGCAAGAACAATGACCCCGAGAGGCCAGATGACAAACAGATGATACGACTTCAATCAATCTTCAGTATTTTAATAATGAAATATAAACTTACCGTAGTCATGACATCACACGAACAAACTTGGAACCTAGACCTCTTTTCTTACTGTCAAGTATTATTCTCAAACAATGAAGACACAACTTAAATGCAGTAATCGCAAAAACGTTAACACTATAATACAAAAGTTAACTCACTCACGTAACATTAAATTCTTGCTTCTTTTTTATTTAAACTAAATAATATTTTCGACCTTTGTATATATTTCATTAAATATTTGACAACAAATACCCTTCACTCCACTCGTCACGGAACCGAATACTCGTGTTGCCACATCATTTAAACATATTCTTCAAATTTTTTAATGTTCCGAATATTTAAAAATTTTAAGGATGGTAGATTTAGATATTTTTGTAGGATTTCATAACGAACATATTTAAACTTCATATTATTATGAGGCCTAGATAGGTCCATAGAAATAAACACTTACAGAAATAAACATTATTTATCATTTATCTACTTTAAGAGGTTGTTACTGAGGCAGATTTCGTCAATAATGATAAAAATATTGCTGAATTGCTATGTATTAAACACTTACTTTATAGATAAATTTAGACTGATCAGGACAATTAAAAACATCATCATGTCGCAAAAACAAATATAACTTATTTGTCTTTGTCTAATATTCTGTCTGTTAAACTACAAAACCTACCAAAATTCTGAATTCGTAAGCAGTAGAATTTTCCATTCTGGATGTTGTTCCATGTTGAATTCTTAAAAAGGTTGAATTTTCTGGACTCACAATGCTGAATTTGCAAAATGTTGAGTCCTGTAAATGGGAGAGGCGCAAGACCGATCGTGGTTGAGATAGGCCTATGTCCAGCAGTGGACATCGTTTTTCAAATATCACAATGAGCATACTTCTACTTCTCGGGAAAACATCTGACACTGCGTACACACAAGAACCTTCTAATCCGTGAAATTTGAATACAATTTTTTATCTATTTTTAATAACTTTTACTTTATTTCTAAATGTTACATGCAATGTAGGAAGGAACCTCCCCTTTGAGACACAGGTGATTCACCTACTTCAGGGGTCAGTGTTTCTATGTAAAAGTGTGAATAATGTTTAAATCTTGATTATTAGTATGTCACGTTAATAACATATTATATTAACGACATATTAATAATCTAAGGGTTAAATAAATATTATTATTATTACCGTACATTATTAAAACAATGAAATTAATTTCTAGGCTACATGGTTGGAGAAATTTTTGGTTTTTAAGTATTTTTGGTCTTTTCATTATTAAAAGAATATTCTCGATACTAAAATCAACAGCCTTTACTAGTCCACTGCTGGACATAGGCCTCTCCTTAGAAAGGAGGTTTATACGATACCCGATACTATAACTTTTTACAATTTCAACGTTTTTTAAATTTAACATTGCATTTTGATCCGAATGGGAAATCCAACTTTCTACGACTTCAATATTTTGCGTATTCAACATTGCAGTCTAGCATGGATTTTAAATACCCCTCCAAATAATCATCAGTTTTTTGGCAAGCATGACTGTGTCAGTTTTTTAGCTAGCATGACCTCGTAAATTTTTTAGGCTAGCATGACTGGCTTATCGAGCTCTACTGCTCTATTCATTTTATCATCTATTCTTTTTTAAATTCAATAAGTTTCAGGACACTCGAGTAAATTCCTATCTAGCATCATGGGCTCGTCTAATAAAATACTGATGAACAACAATTGCCTCATAGTAAAAATAGGTATAGTCATCTGCCCAGAGAACAAAGAGATTTTTTTAAAGTAAGCATCAACAATTTGTACTCCGTCATGAGATTAAAAAATCCAACTTACAAAATATTAATATGAATCAAACAACATTAATTTGACATAATTTATTGTATTATAGCAATACATAACAATAACTATACAGACTAATACAAGGCATTCACAGTTATCAAAATATCACTAAGTGGAAGGTGTAAGCACAATCGTTTTAAACTAAATAGATGTGATATTAAAAAGTAATTTAACAAAAGTATATACAAAAAATTCATTTACCTTTTAACAAGATGTTTCTTTCATCAAGAATTAAATCAAATTTTAGGGTTTTACGAAAGATCATATGGATTAACACGACCTTTTCAAAATGTTACTAAAACAATTCAATAACAAAATAAATTATAATCAGATAAACTATGAACAGTCGACGATAGCAATTTATTTCTTAATATTTGTTTACACTTTTGTCGTAATTAAGTTTTTATTTCTTCAATATAGTATATAAAATCACCATATTCTAGTAATATTAACACAATATTTGAAAAGCGTACAGTGACTTTAACACATATTTAATACTTGACCCACCAATTGTTTTACGGCCCCCATTCTACGCGATATGATATTAAATTATTCTAACACTTTGAATGGTAACGGTGTATTATCGGCCGTGCCTGGTGACGAAGTGAAGTATGGCGAGACGTCAGACAAGTAATTTCTGGGTAACAGGCCGATCAGTAGCGCTATTTTGGCCGCTATCGGAGCCTTTTCTGTGTCGTCTATTATCGTGTCTTGATCCGGCATTACCTTGTCTACGATATGTTTCTGTACGAGACCGTCTCCGCCGACGTAGAAAGTTGAAAACCCGTCGTACCATCTATTAATAAGGAGTATAATATTAGTGAACCATATATATTTTATTTATATTACATAACAACTTACAGGCTACATTTTTGAACAGCTATCTTATTATTTCTCATAAGCATTAAGCTTCTGTAGTCGAACTAGGCGGAGTCTGTATACTTCGACTATCAGCGCCAACTATTATATTATTTACTTATGCTATACTATAAACAATAAGTTTGTGGATGTGATGTGTGTGCACACATGTTCTTTAGTGTGTGTTCGTGAGTGTGTATGTATATGTGTGTGCGTGTAGTGTGTAATGTATGTATGTGTGTTTGTAACTATTTATTGAATAATGTACACAAGATTTTTGGTCTTTCTTTTTTTGCACTGTCCCCAGTTTGTGGATAAATATTGAGAATTTTATTTGTTTTATTATATAAGTGGGATCCATTAATGTCAGTAAAATGTCTGCTAAATTTAGTTTTGCACCTTCTCGGAGATTCACACACCACATATTTTCTATGTTTCTTTAACAACTGTTGATTATTGTGTTGTTGTGTATTTAATGGTTCTCATACATTTTATGGAATTGATAAAGTAGTTCGCTCTTAAATATTATGTATTAATAAATGATATAACGACTTACAGTTCCTGATCCTGGAACACCTGCTTCATGTTCCACAATTTATACTTCCAAAACATAAAGAACACTTTGAGCCCCGATATACCTTTGATGCGCCATCTCATTCTGTGAACAAAGTTTATAATTAATTATATTTATATTTTTTTTTATATCCATAGCATTAACTTACCAACCACAGCATATTAGAGTGTGGGAAAATGTCTGAGGAAGTATGCTCTAACTCACCAGTCATCAATGACTGTGAAAACTACGGTTATTAAAATCAGATCATTTGTCAAAAGCCCTATACAAATAAGTACACAATGTTACATGGTACCGCCACAAGGATATCCTATATTTTTTTCGTCTGATTTTTTTTTATGATATAGCCGGCAACGGAGTAGACTTGTCACCTGATGGAAAGTCACAAGCCTTATTAAAAAGTTACGGTGTCCGCAACTTTATGCCTTGAGTTAGGTAGGCATCTATATTAATATTATAAATGCGAAAGTGTGTCTCTATACCTCTTTATGCTTAAAACGCTGAACCGCTTTAGATAAAATTTCGTGTAGAGGTAGTTCTTTTACCGGCAAAGGACAAGGATAGTTTTTATTCCAGAAATCACAATCAGAGGGGGTGAAAAGCGGGGTGGCAGTTTGTATAGGAAATCAATAACCGTTAAATCGATTTAGATGAAATTTGTTTTTTTTTTCGGACATAATATTCGGATATCTCTACATACATAATGAGATATGATATATGTAATTAATGAGATATGATATATGTATATAATGAGTTATATGAGAGTGGAGGTAGGACAAGAATGGGGACCGGGAGGGGTGCAAATGGCATTCTTCTTTCATTTCATCATCATCGTTATCAACAGCCTCTAATTGGAAAGGAGGTTTGGCCTACTATACCACACTGGCCATACGGGCTGGCATAGGATTTGTGTCAAGTTTTACTTCTCTTTGCAGTGCTATTGTCCTGCGGCTCTTGGGTGGCTCGACACCCACGGGATGAATAGGAGTGGTAACACTCCGTATTAATATATTATTTATTTGTTACTAACTTAACAGAAGAGTCCTCAGGATGAGACGTGATCTTCATGACTTCCAGCTTCACATAGGCAAACTTCAAGTGTCCTATTGTACGGAGCAAGGCGACCTGCTTGACGAAGTGGAACAGACCTCTGCAATATAATTATAACATCGTATTTATTATTTAATTTAAAAATAAGTATATTGTTTCGTTCCTCACAGTTCAGAAAAGAAGTATTTAATTAGAAATTGTCACATACAAAATTGCGGATACTTGAATAAAAATCCTAGGTGTTTTTCCAGACTAGTTAATCCATCTATGTGCTAAAATATTATCCATGTGCACTTAGAAATATCTGGCGTGATTCAGTAAAAATACTGATACAACCATCCTCACAAATATTCCCGTTAATAAAATAATGGGTAATATACATTTTTTTTTTGTATTATAATGTATATCTGATACATAAAAATAATCAAACAAATTATAATAGACGGGTAAACGATAAGTTCACTTACATGTGTGTAGTCCCTCTAATATTGTTAACGAAAATTAAATTAGGAGAGTAGATGGAGTAGTCCAGTGGCTTTACAAATAGGTTCGGCATCTGAAAATTCATTTTTTTTTTTGTTTTAAAAGACAACTCCCGCAGTATAGGAGTACATCCTGTGTCGCGGGGGGCTTTATAATCATTTAGGAAGCGAACACAAAGAACACCCGACTCAGAACAACAATGTTGCTGTGGGGATTGAACCCACAATACTCAGTGCAATAGGAAGCGGCGAGGTCACTGCCTAAACCACTACACCATCCATGCAGTCAATTGTAATGTTAATGTGTGATTCAACCCTATTGCATAGAAAAACTAAGCTACCATGAACTTGACAACCACAAGCCGTCAAAAAGGGAAACAAACAGCTTTCTATAGCCATTCATTAATTTTGTTGTAAAATTAAATTTTTGCTTACTCTTTCACTCAAATTCGTTGAATTTGGGATAAAGGAACGTCATTCACTTATTCATAAATATGGTTTTATCTCATATTTTGCAAACAGAAAGTAGACCTGTGACCCAGTGTGAAATTTTGATAAACTCTCAGCCCCTGAATAAGTCACATTGTGTGGCCAAGTTCCCTAAGCTAGATAAAGCACACAGACCCTCTGTCCCCCCCTGAATAAGTCACATTGTGTGGCCAAGTTTCTTAAGCTAGATAGAGCACACAAACAATGCTGTAGAGCAGGACAAGTCCTCTTCTTTTCATTTCTTTTCATGCTTACCGTTGTTGATAACGTATTAAAGACTTTAGAGAGCTGCTCATCTGAAGCTCTCCCTTCTGGACTAGGATCTGTTGTAGGCTTAGGAACAGGTGACACGCCCTGGCAATATGCAATAGCGTCGCGCTCAAACTCCGATAAGCATGTCGGTTCTATATCCTAATTAGGAGAAAAGTTAATAATTAATGAAGTTAATTAATACTAAAAACTTTATACACAAATTCAAAATACTCACATTACTATATTTAGTTAAATCAATATCACTAATATTTGTGTGTGGTATATCAAATGAATACGGAGGCATTCTCCTCTCTATATAATCATCTGACGTCAGCCCCAAAGCCTTCAACTCCATTCCATATTCATCATGGCTCTCATTGGTATAGATTCTACAATTTATATCATTGTCGAGAGAATCATTTTTATTGAACTGCTGATAGTAGGTCTGTACTGTGTCGTGGATGTAAATATCATCAATGTTGCTCTCTGTGGCACATTTTGTAGCTAGTTGACAACTGGATATGCGTCTGCGGCTTAGAAACTAGAAATAATGAACAGAAAATTGAGTTTTGCCATGTAAGAATGATCATGGTAGGTTTTTAAACTGGAAGGATGTTGCAGGCAAGCAATATTTAATAACATGGAACATAGTAATTTTTATATGTTAGTATTTACACAATAAATATATATAAATTATATAAGTATTCTATCATTCAATTTAGCTTTCATAATACTAGATCTGTTTAGTTTTTCATAGTACAAACTAGATGGCATTGTGAGTCAGATGTATGAAAATATTTTTATTATTATTAGATATTTCTTGCCTGCAGCGTGCTAAGGGCAGCAACTTTTTATTGGTACAAAAATTAATAATTCAGCTCTTAAACTCAGTCATAATGTGCTTTCCTAATAATTGATAAATAGCGCTTTACATTGTAGATTAAACAGGAATGCCTAAAAGGCAATATGTATGTGTCTTCTGACAGAAAATCTTTTTGGATACAAAGAATAGGTATTAAGAGCTTGACAACATTCAAGTGATAATTAATACAATGACTGAGGCAATTCAAGGCCAGGGCTGCAGGTTAGAAACAATTTCTAACCTGCAAGAGCCATAGTCAAATAAGATATCAAATTGAGAAACCATATTTTTATATAGTATAATAAATAATGTAAACAAATAATTCAGATCTAAAGTGGGTACAGCATGGAATATGATAGAGGCAATATCGCAGTATTTGCGGGACTTTAAGGCGAAAGTAAATTAACACTATTAAATTATAATTTCATGATAGTAAGCATATATATTTATTCATTCAAGCATATATATTAGCATTATATATTTATTCTAATATATATCTGTAAATAACATTTGAATCTTAAGAAATTGTAACAATTCGCATACTCTAATTTTAGTAATTATTTCAATGTCAATGAGTAAAAGCTTTGTTGTCATTATGTTATATACTTTTTTAAATGATTATGTAACCGATATTCATGCTGTACCACGATATAAAACGAGGAGACAAAATATAAAACATTTCAAATCACACAATACTTACTTCTTCCAGAAATTGTGGCCGCATAGGAATTTTTCTGGACAAGCGGCTAGAGTGATTTATGGTGGAAACGATACCGTTAATAGGCAAAATTTTATGAGTAATTGTACGTAAACAAATAGACATTTTATTTCTGTATACTGATCACTCTTCAACACAAAGAATTCTCAAGTTTTTTGAAAATATGTCGCAAAAAAGTCCCGACATAGCGCAGAGAGATTGACAGTTGTTTGGTTTTAATTTTGGAACACATGTTCACAAGGACAGATTAAATATTTCCTAGACATTAACAATACGTGTAATATAAATTTTGTAAATCAGTGACTAATATAATAGTTTTAATTAAATTTATAAATGAAATAATATAATTATTATGCTGTACATCAGTATGAAATACTTAGGTAGTATAGAAATATTTTACCAAGTCAAAATAGTTAGTTTAAGTCCAATGTGGGTTAAATATTGCATGAATTTAATAAGAAAACCCAAAACTTATACTTAAATCTTTTTGCTTCCGTATCATTTTTGCCACACATTTTTAACTTAATTTTAACTTTCTTCAGAATTCAGATAAACCACAACATTTTTTTTTCATGTCACGCGCTTGGTCGAAATAAAAACGTCTATTTATAAAATATATTGTCTGTGCTACTGTCAAGTAACAAATGTCAATTAAAATGTATGACTTGTTTTCAGTACGGATATTTTGCGTTGCATTTGTAACTTTTCTTAACAATAAGATAACATAGAAGGGGTCAAGACTAATATAATTAAATAATATTAATTTATCTACCAATTATGAACCTCCAAAGAACATTTCAGAAGGCCTTTAGCGTTTTATTTAATACAAATGTGAACAGTGTAAGTATAATTTTGTTTTCTTAAAAATTTAAAATATGTAATGAAATATAGCATTGTTGTGTTAAGTATTAACACTCTCACTGATAGCTAATGCTGTCTTTATTTTTATTTGCCTACGTCGATCTAAAAATTTAATAAATTAAAAAAAAAAACAAATTCCACTTATGCGTAGATATAAAATAATTCACATTTAAAACAACAATATAACAGCGTTTTTTGTAAACAATGTTTCAGGCGTTGCCATGTTTAATCCGCCTTAAACATACCAAAGAGGATGTCTCCGAACATAGAGCTAAAATGATGGCTCGTGGGCTTCCTGAGAAGAAACCTCTACCAGGAGTCAAAAGTATAATATTAGTAGCTTCTGGCAAAGGAGGTGTGGGAAAGACTACAACAGCTGGTTTGTTTTTTTTTATATTTAAATATAAATTGTCATATACATGACAATTATAATTCTTAGGTTTAAAAGAAATTATATCACCTCTTTTATTAAATGTAACATTTTAAACTAATTAATTGTAAGGTATTTTTGACAATAGCTAGTAATGACGTCACAATATAGTATTTATAACGAAAATGTTCTGCATCATCTTTTTGAGTTTTCGCAAAAAACAATACTTTTATATTTTTGTTAATATTTTATTTATTATTAATATATTACCCTATTGATTGATTATTTGTTTATTTGATATTTTGCCTAATCTTATTTTTCTCTTTATTGTCTTATTATCTTTTAGTCCATATACTGGCACACATTGGAACAATGTTGTGGTATATTTAATGATGCCATCGTATTTATCTATAAATTGCAAAATAGTCGTCATGAATTTGTTTGCCCTTTCTTCTCATAAGGCTGAACCCCTTGGAAACGGGCAGTTGTAGATTGGCTCAGGCATATCATAGATTTTGTATAAGCATAATTAAAAAAAAAAACCTAACTATTTGACAATACAGAGATTTTTGCTATTGTGTTTGTTTATCCACAACATTAGAGTCTACAACATACAAGAGGATTTCAAACAATTTTAATTTTATTATGAAATAAAGATATTTTGAATTTGAATTGTTATATTAATATGCCTGACTATAATGGGTTTGTTTGCAACTCAAGTTGAAACTTGAGCCTTTGAACAGTTTAATCATTTATAGCTAATTTGTTATTTCTTTCAACTTTTTCAATACATTCTTCTCATCTGTAATTATTAAAAACAGAACAGAACATTCTTTAAACTAGCATGTTATTTCAGTGAATCTTGCATGTGCTATGAAAGTGATAGAGCCAGACAAGGAGATTGGATTGCTGGATGCTGATGTGTTTGGTCCCTCAGTGCCTCTGATGATGAACATAAGTGGAGAACCCATGCTCAACGATGACAATCTTATTGAGCCACTGCTTAACTATGGTGTTAAATGGTAAATGTTACCAATAAAAGTATTGCTTGAAATAAACTTTAGTATAGTCCATCCACATTAAGAAAATAGTAACGCATTGATAAAGCCCAGCGAATTGATATTTTCTTGGCATCTGATTGGTCAGGGGCGGGTTTGATCATTGTGTTACTATAGGCCATTCACGTTAAGAAAACAGTGACAAATCAATCAATCAATCAAGCTCAATTATTTACCCTGATGGGGTAATATTAAACTATTATTATTGTTGTGTTGCATGAAACAGTCTGCTTATTTCTCTTTTTAAATCGTAAAAGTTTAAAAAAAATCGTAACAAAGAGATGTATTAAAGGAAAAGTGGTATTCAACAAAAATCTATAATAAAATTTTAAATGATGTGTGTTTTCTAGCATGTCCATGGGTTTACTTGTATCTGGGGAAAATGCAGTAGTATGGCGCGGCTTGATGGTGATGCAGGCTCTGGAGCGGTTAACACGACACGTGGCATGGGGCCCACTCGACTGCCTGGTTGTGGACACACCCCCAGGCACTGGTGATACACACCTCTCGCTTGCACAGAATTTGCCTCTTGATGGTGAGATGTTTATTGTATTTTTTAACTTAATGACTGGTGTTCATGAAACGCTAGCTGAATTGTGCCTGGATTCTGATCCTCTCAGTTAAAACTGTGTATTAGATAAATTTCCCATTAATTGTCATTGTGTTTCTAATAATATACCATTCAATAAATACACAAATAAATGTGTATTCATATTTTGTGTTATGTTTATGCATGTCATATTAACACATAATCCAAAATTATAAATGTAAGTTTGGATGGAAGTTTGTTACTTAATCAAGCCAAAACAGATTTTGATGAAATTGAGGGAGGAATAGGGAATATGCATGTATTTTTTTTATTTTTTTTAACGATTCTACTAGTTATTACATTACCAAAAATAAATATAACACATCCGAAATATAAACCGTTAAGCAAAAAAAAATTATTAAAATCACTATCATTTTGGGGCAATTTGAACACGTCCATTTTGGCGCGCTTTTTTTGTGACGTCAGATTACACTTTCAGACGAATTCGATGTCAACAACGGAGTGAAGTTCACAAAGTGTCTGAAAGTTAAAAAAGTGAGTGATAAAAATTAACTTATTACCATGGAAAGCCAATAAAAACTTATTATAAATATTGTGCCGTTCCTTTGTGCCCAAATAATATCAAAACTGCACCTTGCAAAGTATACTCATTCATTGTGTTGAGTCTTTCTACACGGGAATTTAATAATTTAACACTGAAAACGTATTAGTTATTAACTTAAAATGAAACAAATAATCACCAGAAATCAAATATTACAAATACACACAACTTGTTGACACTCTTGACAGTGTAGGTTGACGTCACGTTTTATTCAACCAATAGCGTTGCGTTTTAGAAATTTGCGAGGGAATCTTAAAAAAGCCAATTTTTGATGATTAAATTTCACTATTAAATTATAATAAATTTCAAAAATAATTGTATGGGTATCTTTTTTTAGCAATAAAAATTACAAATAAAAATATTTTGTCCATTTTGGGGTCACGTGCATATTCCCTATTATTTATTTATTTATAACTTTATGCACTTTTGTACATCGTTAGACTTAATACCTAATGACTTAATTCTCTTCCAATCAACCTGGCTTAGGTGGTGTAAAAATCGTGAGTGGTAGGCGCACATAGATTTCTATACTAATCACTAAAATGTACATTATACAACACAATGCACGTAAATTTATACACAAACAAATACACAACAAAATTATTGGAGTATAGAAACTGATTATAGCATATACACTTATCCTGATAACTATCTAGGAATAATTGATAAAAGAATCTGTTGGCAAGTCTTTAATAAGGCCATGCATTTTTTACCAATAAATATAAATATCAATAATAGATACTCAACGAATCTATACTAATATTATAAAGCTGAAGAGTTTGTTTGTTTGAACGCTTTAATCTCAGGAACTACTGGTCCGATTTAAAAAAAATCTTTCAGTGTTAGATAGCCCATTTATCGAGGAAGCCTATAGGCTATATATCATCACGCTAAGACCAATAGGAGCAGAGCACCAATGAAGAATGTTTCAAAAACGGAGAAAATTTATTACTATTGAGAGACGCAGACGAAGTTGCGCGGGTCAGCTAGTAGAATATATAACAAGATGCAGCTAATATCTCTTTTATCATAGCTGACATTGCAATGAATACTTAACTTATTAATTATTAACCCAAACAATGATTTAAAAATTCAATAGGTACCTAACAAAGTTCTGGGTACTGTTTTATGTACTATATACTCATTGCTTTCTACTGCTTGTTAATCATGAAAACATTAGAAATTAAATTATGAGCTTGGTGGTATATTAACAACTCAATATAGGGCTCTTTTTATTACCATGTTACAGGAGCTCTCGTAGTAACAACACCGCAACAAGCTGCACTTCAAGTGACCAAACGAGGCGTCAACATGTTCGAGAAACTCAAAGTGCCTGTCATTGGCATGGTGGAGAACATGTCACATGCTATATGTCACAGCTGCGGTTCCAAAAACTTCGTGTTTGGCAGTGAAACAAAAAAATGCGCTGACCAAATGGGCTTGGAAATCATTGAAAGTTTCGAAGTTGATCAAAATATGTCGGAATGTATAAATAGCGGGAAACCAGCCATATATGCGCTACCAGACAGCGTACACGCAGAGAAATACAGGCAGTTAGCAAATAAAGTGTTCAAATATATAGATACTAAGGAAAGAATGCAAGCCAAGATAAAAGAATAGTGTTCATGCACAAATGTAGTGATCTGTCAGTAGTTGTTGAATTTTAATTTTGAATTTATGTTAATTGTATTAATAAATGTTTTATAAACTTGTATGTTTTTGTGTATCTTCATGTAACAAACGCACGGATGGCGTAGTAGATTAAGCGGGCGCCACTCCGCTTCCTACTACGCTGAGTGTTGTCGGTTCGATCCCCACACGGGACGAGACTTTTTTGTGATCCACAAAATTTTTGTCTGTGTCTGGGTTTGTTAAGTTCCTAATTCGAGGGTTCTTCAAATGAAAAAAAATAGAGACAATACGGAAACTCGCTCCTTCAATACGTTTAAAATTAATAACAACTCTCGGAACTAGTCAATAAAGTGCAATCTCGCTTAACCATATTTATTTTCACCAGTAGTTTTGGTGGCCCTTTTTCATCACTTATGAATTGGATAAATTATGTTACGGAACGCTCAATCTTGCTATGATCAATTGACATTGGTCAAAAAAAAGGGATGCCCAAATCGGTTGTTAAATAAGTATACAGTGTTATTATATAAAATTTATTCGGAACAATCTTGTCAGGAATCTTTTACATCTATGGCCAAACTGCAACTTAATCAAATAAATAATAATAATACAAAAATATGTGTCTTTTAAATACTTTTTATATATCAATCATTTCATACTTTTATTACTACAGTTATGAAGAAAAAACAAGCAAAGACCTTTATATTGTGATGCCAAAGTTAAACTATGGCTACCAAAATAAATTCATATTGACACCAACAGTGACCTTCGAAGATCTTTTGAATTACTCAGTCAATAAGTACAAAATAGATATATTTTTGTATAAATATTTACATTGAATCACAACATTAAGAGAAAACGGAATGAAACATGTTCGCTATTGAAAACGCAGGGCAATATTCAGTCTGAGTCCACTTACACAACACTTCGCTTAGAAGATATTCTCTATGGTATTAGGATGATAGTTACATCGGAGCACTTTGAAACAACACTGAATGGACTGGAACTTTTTAACACAAGTTTTACCAAATTTCTTTTTTACGAGCATGCCTGACCCCATTCATAGGTAGAAATCATATCATTTTATCATGTTATGTTAAAGATTAAAACAGGTTATAAAAACTTACACACTTTTAGTGGTAAAGTATTTAGTTTTTGTGGGGTCCAAACTTGTATTAGAAAAGTATACTTATTATTTCCACACAGTGTTGTACTCCAGTGATAAGCTGAGTCAAGACACTAACAAACAGTGCTCAGTAAATACTATGTCTTACATACAAATAGACAGTAAAATTATTATTTTTAAAAAATATATTCAATTTATTAACCAAATTATGTTATTTTTGTGGTAAATCTTTACGAGTTCAGTATTTTATGATGCTTTACTTGTATATTATGGGCAATTTATATATAGAAAATGGCCATTAATAAACGACTTGTATGCACCAAGATTTGTAGAAGCAAAGAAATGTACAATTTAAACACTGTTCTATAATAAAGTAATGTATATTAGATGCTGTCTAATAGAGATTTCTTTTCAGAACATGGAATTGACCTCGATAAGTTTTTATAGAATTTGTATGCATACAAATTTTCAAAATAATAAAAATACATAGCTTTTTAAACATGTTTAACAGACAGAAAGTAGGCAAAATAGGAAGGCACAAAATGAAGTTACTTCCCATTCTTGTACACTTAGATCTTTCAAACTACACAACGGATATAGAGAGACTGATTAAAGAGGAAGGTTTTTATGTAAAACACATTGCAACCGTGCGAAGCCAGGGCAGGTCGCTAATCATTCTTGGATCATAATGTGATTCAACTGAGCTATGGTGACAATTACCATGGTTGTTTGGTAATTCGTGAAGTTAACACAGATGTGACTCAAATATACAATCAAGACAAGACTGGAAAAGATCTATGGGTACCACCATTTTGTTGCGTCGAAACATCACACATACATATATACGAACTACGGATATACCCTGCCACGCTTCACTGTGGTTGCATTGATGTGAACTGAGGACCAAAAGTGACGCGAAAAAATAGATAAAAACCATCTTTAGTTTTGTATTTCATGCCAAAATTTGAGCTGCAGAAGTTTTTGAGGTTTTAAAGGATACACAAACCAACTTAACATTTATATATACTAGCTGACCCTGCAAACGTTGTTTTGCTATTTACATATTTAAAAATTATTTTTTTGAATTTCTTAAAATCCGTTCTTAGCTGACCTCTACTCGGTGAAAAGAATATTCCTACCAAATTTCAAGTCTTTAGCTCTAATGGTTCCAGAGATATCGTGATGAGTGACTATATACGTTTAAATCTCTTATATATATAGATAGATAAGTAGGTTATAACAGGCCTTTTTTTCAATTAGTCATTTATCTTATACAAATCTTTGGTACATATCTATAAAATAAACTGCCCACTATATTATATACATGTAGGTTAGTGATGCTGTCACATTGTGTTTTTACTGATATTGCACATTTTGCTTAAACATGACTTATGCTTATATCCTTCCGCTACATAGCATATATAAGCAAAAATACATAAAAAATCTATATCAGTAATAAATCAAGTGGTTTTTCACAAGAGTTTACACGAATTACGAGTGTACACTCAGAGCACAAGGAAGTGAAGTTAAAGAGTGTAAATAATCAATCTAAAGTCAACTTTAAAGACCTTGAATTGAGGTTTAATTTAACATAACAATAACAACAACAATTTATTCAAATTTTTTTTTAATTAAAATCGTGTCTGTTAGCTTTAACTTTAGGGTCATATGTTTAAAGTTGAGTTTCAATTGTATGATGCATTTACTGTACCGTAACTTCCAAACCCAGAGAGCATCACTTGGATATGGGATTAAGCTCTGTTCACGAATATTATCGACTAGTCAGATTGTCACATAAAAACACCAAATGTTGTATGAATTATTTTCTTTCATCTTGCACCATAACAACCTTATGATTAATATCAATGTCTTTCACTGTGCATACAAGGTACACACCGCGCGCCGATTCTACCATTTCTTCTTGTGCTCGTCCATACTTACTCCGCCGGGGCCTAGGTACACGATCATTAGAAGACCACCAATTACAGATAAAGTCTGAAAGAAAAATAGAACAATGTTACCCCACTTCACCTTAAATAATTTGACTAAATTGAACTGTCAAACACTGTCAAAGTTGAGTGTTATAGTCATGTTTTACGAACTTTTAAATCTATAGCTAAAATTTTAATTATTTATCAGTATAATAATACTGATAATTAAAATTTAAATTAATATTAACAATGAAATTCTTTCAAGGCTAAGGAAAACCTTTTTTTCTTACTTGCTAACCTTAAATTTTGTCAATAATCAATGACTAAGTGTGCAAAGATCAAATAAAATATGTCAGTAATACTTTTTTGTCTTTACCTATTTATACACACATATATTCAGATCTTACCTGGAAGAAGTCATATTTAAGGAAATCCCTTAGTGGCTTATAAGAAGGTACAGCCCACCACGCATTGTGGTACAGGTTGAGCACGGTAAGGACCAGCACGAGCATCAGCGCCGAGAGCTTGGTGCGGTAGCCCACTGTCACGAGGATCATCAGAATGCTCCCCAATAAATCTTGGATGATCTGGAATTACATGATACAGGGTTAGAACAATTTCGCTACATGAAGAAATAAGTGCATGTTTGGATGAAATTATTTCCCTGTTTTTAAGTTTTAAGATGAAGAGATACATCTTTATATCACACCAAAAACATACACAAAAAAGTTATATTAAGTAGCACTACAATGACAGTTTATTCCCAGTAGTTCCATGAGGCCAGTTCCTGGTACTGATGTAACCTTAAAAATGCGATTTTGTACCATTTGTTCTATGTAATTTTATAATACTTTTACTTAGATGACATTAATTGAATTTATTTTATTTCAATCATTTTTTTAATAACAAAAGAAAGTCTGGGAAAACTACTGAACGTTAGAAAAACAAATAACTATCTACACATACAATAAAACCGTAAGAGAGGTGATATTGTACATGGCATATAAATAAAAAAAAACAGAACAGAGGGAGTATATGCCAAAATATGATTTTTAAAATTCTTGTCTATATGTGATTCGCGCGATTTACGTAAAAACAGCTAAATGAATTTGAATGAACCTTTGAATTTAGGTTAACCGTAGTCCTGTGTAACATATAGGGTACATTTTATCACGTTATTACTCAAAGGAGCTAGGCAGCAAGTAATTGGAGTTTGTATGAAAAGTCGGTATTCTTGCTGCTACGCATATGAATCTTAGATTAACATATTCTTCTGAAAATGTTCTTTTTGTAGCATAAGAAAACAAGGAAAAGGGTTTCATGTATTATAATAGAACAAGGTACCTAACTGGCACTTAATACAACTATTGAGAATAATTTGCCTCTTCAAATAGTTCCATACATGGAACTAGTGGGACACATATGGAACTACTCGCAATAAACCTCTCTTAAAGACAACATTTGGATGGGCTTTAATCTATAGTAACAGCTCCATTTAAATTTTATTACTTGAACACTATTACAATATTATTAAAGGTTAAGATTCATGAATCGACACTTCTTTGATGAGGTCAAAGAAGTTTATCAAACGAAGGCCTTACGTAGATTGCATAATGTTGATATTGGCTAAATACGATTTCGATTAATGTGATCCATTCAAAACTATTGAAAAATTATTTACTTGCTGCCGACTCAGTCATAATTAATCGGAACGAGATAACAATATTGCGCTCTCTCTTCCACTTATGGCTAAATTATCGATTTTTAAACTTCATGAATTAATGTTTAAATTTGACAACCGGAATATATCTTTTTATAATAAAATTAACATTTACGTGTGTCAAAACAGGTTTAATCAACCTGATTAAATATATTCAAAATTACATGAGTGGGTCACGGAGTGACGTCATGATACTATTTTTAACACAACAATATATGAATGTGTAATGTGTTAGGTAATTAAATTGTGTTCGCTGAATGTCACCTAATGCGCTGTCACATGGAGTTAAATTTCGAAGGGATTTTTAGATATGGCTTCTTAGTCTACAGAATATGCTTATTCCAAAATAATTAGTGTCGTATTGAAAATGAATACAAACAAATTATTCGCCGTAATAGAATTATCTGTTATATTCTTCTAGCTGATAATAATATCTAATAACCTTAAAATTAGCAATTATTATTATATTCAGACGCTTAGATAGTAATTTAAATATTAAAAATATATGAATAATTTTGAATACTGATTCTTTATAGGAACTTTTTTAGTGCTCCCAAGAAAGTTGTGGGATTTTAAGACAGTATTGTGATAATTAAAGATTAACTGAGAATTAATAATAACACTGTTCGTAAAGAGGAATAAATACACGAACAATTGCTACAATACAACCCACAAATACCCACAAATTTTAGACTCTTGGGCTCCCTCACTAATAATTCTGATACTAACACCTGCCATACTGTGATATGTGTTAATTTTCTTACCTGTAGGAAAGAAAATTCAAATCGCAACAAAGTGATGAACATGAAAGCGAGCAGAATTCTGCCAGCCAACTGCAGGTAAGTCTTCGGTTTGTTCTCGCCCAGGGAGGGAACACCGGCGAAGAGACTCCGGCCCTCGGCTCGCGCCTCCGCGAGAACCAGTAACAGGGCTCCAATGAGGGCCAAGTTACGCAGTAAGAATTGCATGTCCCACAGTATGCTGTATGCGAATGTCTGGAAGAAAATACGAACATAATCAGTTTTTGATCGAAGCATGCGCTACATAATAGGGTTATGAGTTACGATTACATAAATACTTTTATGACTAACTTAAGCATAAAACACGTTATTGTAGATTTTGTTAAGACAGGTCGTATATCATTCGGGCACAATACTTTTTCCCTTCTTGAGTTAATGTACCTTTGAAAACAGCTGTAGTCTTGATCATTGGACGAGGACATATTGAGATATCTTTTACATAACATGACTTTAGCTAATAAAAAAATGCCAATAATTATACTGGAAATAATAACTAACGCAAAATTTAATTTACATTGCTGATTATAACCTACCTATTTTACTGTATTTACACCAGGTTTACTTTTTGGTATATTTTCCAGTATTCACTTTACCTGCCCCAAAATTCAAAAATAAGATTTCAAATCCAAACTCTGATGTAACAATAAAAGTAACAACTAAAAGGGTAATAAACATAAAGTCATTAAACATGTCATCACTGTATATACCGTAAGTGGACCATTAATGATGAAAAACTCAATCAAAATCATTATCGAATCAATTTACAACCTGGAAACTTGAGTTAGTATCAACAATACGTTTCACAGCGTATCGCAGTTCAAACAATGGTTAATCAACACGTCTTTTGTAAGTAGTCTAATAAAATGCATGCTGTAATAATAATAATAACTTTACACATCTCACACACGGCAGTCTGATCCCAAACTAGGCAGAGCCTGTATGGTAATTTTTTACAATGATAAAGCGATTTCGTTATGGATGTCAAATATTAATAAATGTAATGTAAACCACATTATCTGTATGAAGAAGTAAATTGATAATGTTTTTATTTTAAAATTAAAATACACGATAAAGGTACATTCGTGTGTTTGGTTGTGAAATTTAAGATAAGAAAATCAACTTTGATACAAGAACACGAAATTGCTTACAATTGTTTTTATGCATAATTATGTATTTTATCGAACAACTCTAATAGTATTAACTTGAAAATTAATTACAATATTACATCTAAAAATACCAGTGTTCTTCAACTATCAAAGCAAATTAATGGAAAAATAAAGAAAAAGAAACTGAGCAACATGGTAGCGTAGCAGGGTTTGGCTTGTTCTTAATACAAATATTATTCGTTCGGAAAGTACACAATTTTTCAAACTTTATTACTCACAAGAAATTGATAAAAAAAAGTAGTTGAAAATCTTTACACTAAAACCTATACATGTAAAATTTATTGTATGTAATTCCATATTTCACTCTTACTGAGACATCTTTTATTTTATTCTCGATAACATTTGTCATTTTAAATATTTTAAGAACGACAATACATTATTTGAATTTTGGTCAAGCAAACTGTCATCTGAAATACTAAGTGTTGTCATAAAGAAACAGGAAGTAATGTTTGTGGTGACCGAATCCCATAATAAGTAATTGTAACGATTAAATTCACACAGTGCGTGTCAATGCTCAGCAGATCCTGGATCCCATTCTCTCTCGACAAACAGAGGGCCTAATGTGAGTTTATTTCACATCTGCGTAACAGCGTTCGGCGTTGCAATTGGCCCACATTAAAATCTTTACTAATCGCAACGCCAAACGCGCTTGCAGTCCAGAGGGCCTAGTGCGAGTTTTTTTCACATCAAGTTGCGAGTGGTTAAGATTACAGTACAGCCTCAGAGTAAGTTGATTTGAAATAAACACTAGGCCCTCAGAACGCATTTTCGATCCGTTAGATGGCTAAAAGGATATACTAAGTAATAAGGCAACCTTACCTGTAGTACAACAATGAAGAATAGTAATCCGCACGCTATGTCCACCTTGAGCCTTCCAAGCACCATTACACAGCCTCCTAACTGTCCCACTAAGTTTACTACCTGCAAATAATACGATAACAATTATTTTTTCAACGTTACAATTATGTTACAATACAAGCAGAAAACAATGTGCAATCATCGGCCGAAGCATAAAATTAGTATATAAATATGATTGCCGAGAGAGGCTATAATGGGAACGGCCTGGCCTGTTGATCTAGTGGTCAGTGATTCTGACTGAAAAGCCAGAAATCGTTGGTTCGATTCCCACTTCTAATCGAGTGATAAGCAGGATTATTAATTTAGAAATAACTAGTTAATTACCTAGTTTAGGATCAGGAGGCCGTGTGTCAAGTTATTTTTATGATACTTAACATAATTATAATCAAATCATTAAGTAGACGTTGACGACATGGACATTTTGATGCATTGGGCAATAGCTGTTTGAACAGCGGATCCACATAGAGCGTTTTGATAAGGAGGACATTTCAATAACTTCAAGGGATTATTGAATAGTAGTTTAATACTATAAAAGTGAACTTTTTTAAACATTAATGTTACCAAGACAGATGGGTGACAGTATTATAGGGTACATGTAATATAAAAGGCGTTTTGATACAGTACACATTATAATACGAGTACCAGAGTTAGAAGAACCAGTTCATCGATAAATTAACATATACCTTAGTAGACTACCGTCAAGTAATGTAAACCAGAGGCGTATTTACCCTAGGGATGAGGGGGAAGATCCAGGCAGGTGAACCAGTCTACGTCCCCTTATAATTAAGAAACTACGTTATACTTAATTTGAAAATACGTCACTGACGAAAATCCTTTAAACAAAAAAGTTATTAACAGTATTCTAGGGACAATAATGATCTAAAATTATTTATATTCAGAAGTGGAACAAACCCACACTAAACAAATATGGTCCAGGTAAAAACGCAGTAAGTCACAGTTCAATTACGAACAATCAGTCAAAACACTTAACATTTCTAATAACAAAACGACCTGACACGATCTCACAGTCGAAATACTACGGTTTGTGTTTATGAAACAAAAGGACCGCTGAAACATACAAATCAAATTAATGTTTTACAATTTAGATCATATCAAGTATGTGAAACATTTATTTCCTAAACGGCCGGCGGCTTCTCTACATTTTATTTTCTGAATTATAGAAAGATGATTAGAAAATAACTGGACCATAAGCGGTATTTTAATGCTTCTACAACAATGCCTCTCATATATTACTATGCAAGACTACTAGCCAACATTGTCATTATCTTTCTATCCTTCCCTCAATTTTGTTTGAGGTCGGTGTAATGTTTAACAATGGCTAAAATTGACGACAATTGACAGACTTAGCTGGATTTTGTTACGGTCAGTCGCCTGCCTTACGATAATTCCCCTTTGGAAGGACGAAGGAAAAATTAAATTAGGGTGATGAAAACGAAGAGGGGGACTAAAGAGACTAAGACTGCTGTAGCTGGAAGAGAATCACTAGGATGGGAAGGGACAAAAACTGATCATTGTTAATAAACATTAAGACCAAACTAAATTAGTAAATAGAATTTAATGAAGAATTAATTGTTACTTAGTAAGGTCACAACATGAAAAGAAACAAAAGACAGTTATTTGTTACGCTCCAAATGTTTTACTTAATGAAACAGGCCCCCAGCATTCCTAATGTACCCACTTTGTTTCTTCAGCAAATAAATACAATTAGTAGTACATATACGTAAGTGCATGATTAGCAATAATTTTATTGTGATACAAAATGTGACGCAGTAAAAACATGTGAACGGTGCCAAACAACATTTATTATAATTTGACTTACTAAACAAATGCTGTAATGACAAACAATATTTTTAATTATAAATATCTTTGTGTCGGAACATAAAATGAGCAATTTCTAATGTTGGTACGATTGACGATTATTTTTGGTCGATTAAAGATCACATTGGTGAATTCAATTTCAAGTTGCGTTGTCGTTTGCATCAGATGATGGAAATTTAATTTTCAGATTTTTCTTTACGCATATGCAGTTTAAACATAACGCATAACTCTCAAACTGTGTGTTATTATTTTAAATTAACTCCTTGAATTTATCTGTATTTAGAGGATAATTTCTACATCACATGCATACACATGCGGCTTTTTAAGAAATTTCTTTTTATTTATACGGCACATTAATTCAGATAAAACAGAGTACATTACTTATAGACACACGTAATATGTGTGTAAAATTCAGATGGCCACTAGTACACAATAAAAAACATAAATTAAATCCGTCAACTTAAAAAATAACATTTTTAAAGTTGAGAACGTTAGCCTGATAAAAGGACACGACAACGTCCGAAACAGATCTGAAAAGCTTATTAGGACAAATACATTAGAACAGAATCAAGTATAAACTAGAAACTCGTTTAGAAGTCTTGTATGTTAGAAGTCATTAATAACGTATGTAGAGGACATTTTGCAAATTAAATGTTGGACTTTGACTATCTGAACACAATGGATCGTGTTCGAAGTACAAGTAGTCTTGCTGAGGGAGCTAGCTAGCTCTAAACTTTTGTATTTTTAACCATCAATAAATTTGCGTGAATTTTACAAATTGGCATAGTGTAAGTGGCCCTAGAATCTATTAGTTAGCAACGTGTAATTGACCTCAGAGTTATTGCGCGTGTTAATAAAATGGGAATTAGCAGTGCTCTCCGCCTCAGCGTCGAACTTGAAACTAACTTAGTTTGAAATAAGACGGTGTGGCAGTGCTGTAGCGTTGAATTTCAAAAGAAGTTAAGTTTTAAATTCGCCGCTGTGGCAGCGCTGTACTCAAGGATGTTTCCTTAGAGAATAGCACTGCACAGCAGGCGTCTCCTTTGTGAACCGGAAATACGTAGATAAGTCATGTGATAATTACTACAATAACACATGCATGCAACGAACTGCTGAATCAACAGTCAACAGCTGGAATATAAGTAATACATTATTGCTCCACTTGTATTATCAAATAATGTGTACATAAATGTCAACATAAAGGCTAAGTGATGCCTTTGCAAAATGGCGGTTATCTTTAATTTTGAGCTACTATGATATAATAGACGTCATTATGGCTAAAATTATATACTCATAGAACATTCTGTCATAATGACATCAGCGATTTCGAGATGGTCAGGTCGTAGCAATCAATGGTTGATTTTTTTCTATAAGAAGCCAGTGTAGATTTTCCGAGAATCTGTCAAAATATTTTTTTCATTTGCAATGTCTTGGGTGCTACTGTTTTATTTCATTGACCAGTATTACTTGAACTTCACTTGTTACCACGACAGGACAAAACATGTATTGGACGACTATAGTTCTATGTAGCCATTTGTACGTAAGTTGTGTCTATAGCACATTTTGTTTGAGCTGTATTTGTTTAGGTTAATGTATAGATAGATTTCTTCGCATTTCAGAACTTATAGTACTAGCTATCCCTACTTCGTGTGGATCCTAACAGATAATTTTATATATATATATATACTCACAACAAACATTGTGGCGAGAAACTTGCCGCAACCCCACGACATGTCCATGTAGTCGCGCTGTTCCGACCACTGAACCCACATGCGAATACCATCTTCAAGGAATGTGGAGATGAGGCACAGCCGCGCCACCGTTGGCAACACATTTTTACCTCTACGAATAACCTGCACAAAGAGAAAATATCTTGTAAGAGTGAAAAGCAACTGAAATACGAAACCTAAAGATAAATGTATATAGAATATAAGTATAAGTTTGCTATAAGTTTGCTTGTTTGTTCGTTACGCTATATAACTACCTATAAATTAACGTAAATTTTGCATAAAAGTTATCAAGGAAAAAAAACATTATAGAAAAGGACATAGGGTGCCTTTTATTGGAAAAACACACCTAAACAAGGACAAATTGTTGAAATTACAATACAACTTAGTTTTTTTCCCAATTAAAATGAAAATTATACACAATCCTAGGTCGATTGTGTATAATTTTCATTTTACGTTTAGACATCATGTTCATAAAATTATAATGTACAACAGTTGTAAGTCACTTTGATTGTATTATCCTTATATTTAAGGTATTATTAAGGTATGTAATATTGTGTGGTTAAAAATAAATAAATAATAATAAAATCATGACAAGTTCTGCAAGGTCGTATACGAGTTACTTATTGTCATGAAAAATCCCAATACTCTGGTTTACGTAGCCCCATATAGATTAAACACAGTGTTGCCTAAACATAACAATTTAGGGTGAACAAAATTTAATCCTTTTTAAATATAGAGTTATAGAAGGGCAACACTAAGGTTAAAAAGTAATCTATTAATACATGCCAATCAATATACTAATATAGAATACACGTCACCAAAACTTAACTGTTGACGCAATTTAAACGAGTACAATATTTAACGGTTTTCAGTGAAAGAAAACGCTTCATTCTGGAATAACACTACCATTTACGTAAACAACCTAGGCTAAAAATAAACTATGCATATACTATTAAATTCGAAATCAAACTATTCGACAGAGAACCGACATCGTCGGAGAATCAGAGCGCTGAAGTGGAAGTGGACCGGTCATGTCTCCAGGCGGACTGATGGTCGCTGGAGCCAACATGTGCTAGCGTGGAGACCGCGATGCTGGGTACTGGGGCACAATGTACTGACGACTTGAGGAAAATGGCTGGTAGCGGATCGATGCGGATTCCCCAAGACCGGGATGGTTGGCGCTCCTTAGGGGATGCCTTTGTTCAGCAGCGGACGGCAGTAGACTAATGATGATGATTAAAAACCCATATAAACCGCACTGCACAGTTACAAATGGTACTTTCAATCCACAAAGTTGTAATCCCAAATAAAAATTGGCGCTGTTCTAAAAAAGATGAGCCTTTAAATAAATTTTGTAAGAGGACAAACCATCATTAGGAATTATAGAATAACGCCATTCAAAGGATTTATTTAAACAATTTCACTCTCTACTTTGTAGTTTTTAAAAGTTTAGAATAAAAAATAAAAGCTCTGAAACCATAAGAAATGTCCACTAGGATATTACATTCACTTGTAAGTGGAGAATAGGGAAAGTTATTTCAATTCCAAAGCTTAAAGACAAAGCTATACATTAATATCTTTCATTCCTACTTCCCTACTCATATATTAAGCGCGAAAGTAGCTCTGTCTGTCTGTCACGACCGATTTTAATGAAATTTAGCATGGAGATACTTTGATTCTTCAGAAAGGAAATAGGCTGCTTTTTACCACGATAACCAACATATACATACTCGTACGATGGCGGAGTCGCGGGCAAAAGCTAGTTTTAAAAAAACTTAATTAGTAACACAGGATGAAGAACTCGAAATGGAAAACTTTTTAATATAATTATATATATGAGAATTCTACGATCAATTAAAGTTAAGATTCTGTTATTTATTGCACAACTGTAGTTTTTAGCAATAATTAGTTTTTAAAATTTTTGCGTAATGTGTACAAATTAGATAAGTAAATAGTTAATGTATACCAATATTACAAAGCTGAAGAGTTTTTTGTTTGTTTGAACGCGCTAATCTCAAGAACTACTACTTACTAAATATGCTTTAGTGTTGGATAGCCCATTCATCGCGGAAGGCTATAGGCTACATAACATCACGCTACAACCAATAGGAGCCGAGCATCAATGAGAAATATTGCAAAAACGGGGAAAATTTATTATTTTTGAAAGAGGGAGAAGAAGTCGAGCGGGTCAACTAGTGTTGAATAATTTGTTGAGCACAGCTTAGCTTTCTGTCGCAGTCGTAATAACTAGCAACATATGTAATAAAATATACATTAATAAAATTTACATACTAACATATTGTGTGTGAACGAATTGCAAATTTATCGTCGTTACCAGAAGACACTCGTGACCACGATCCTACCAAAGTATTTCAATCGAAACACATTTAATAATATTTTAAATTAAGTAATACATTTATTTGAAAAGAATAAGCCCATCGTAATTAGGAATCGCAAATATTAAAAACGGTTTCTTGAGACTTATCTGTACTATTGAGTCATCGAATAAAGAAACTAAATAAAAATATTTTAAGAACAAAATGAATAGTATACATATGTATGTTTCTTGAACATTATTTATATGATTGCTGGAACTATCTTTACTACCGGGATCCTTATTTGGATTGAAAAAGGGTCTGAGGCCCCGGCAAGACCTGTAGACGGAACAGTGTGTGGTGACGACATGAAGAGGGCTTCCACAAAAAAAAATGACTACATGATCACAATATAAGACGCAGCAATCACATTATAACATTCTTTCGACAACTAAAACTTTCACTTACAGTCGCAATTCAAAACTAGTTATAAATAAAATACACACAAGTGTTTACTTTCGTCACTTACAGACGTTGTATATAGTTGCGCAGACGCAATCGTCTCATTTTATTAAAAAAGTCCGTGACGTCAGTCTGCAAGCACTGCATATAATTTGAAAAATATTCTTATAGTAGAAATATGTAACTTAATTAAAATACAGTTTTAATGAAATAAATAAGATTATTTATATAGAGTAATATTCTATTTGACCCACATTTTAGTACTTGCTGTATCTTGTGTATATCTTACGCTATCAGCGAGACATTCGCTGCAAAAAAAGAGAGTAGGAAAATAAAAGAGAGAAGAAAACTCTTTCGAAATTATGGACATCTGAAGTAATATACAAAAGGTGAAGAGTTTTTTGTTGTTTGTTTCTTTGAACGCGCCAATCTCTGGATAGTTCTGGCCAGATTTGAATGAATCTTTTTGTTGGATAGAGATTAATTCATTCATATACTATATCCATAGTATAGGGTATGTAAAATTCGCGCATCACAGAGGAGTAACGGCTTAATGATAGAGCCACGGAATTGTATAATGTATAGTAAAATCATAACTACGTAAATCATTTCGTTACAAACAATTATAAAATAGGACACATTTTTTAACAATTTTTTCAAAAGTAATGTTTAAGATGTAATAACGAGAACACAGTTTTGGATTGAAATAACTTTAAGTAATTAATCTGTTTTAGTTTTTTGTTGTTTATTTATATAATACATTTAATATTTTAATAGTTTTAATATTTTATTTTAATTTTACGTTTCGGTTGCATTGGTTTTATCTTTGTGATGTGGATATATATTTCTTGTGTGATGAAATGAAATGATATTTATTCTGCAAGTAAATCTTTTCAAATATTTTTACAAGTAGGCACTGGTGTAGTAATAAAATATTGACGCAACATGTAATGCTTTTGTAATTTATTACTCAAGTGATTTTGATAAAATACAAATTCAGTGTATTATTTATTATTAGCAACAATTTTTTTTAAATAATAATTACTTACCTGTTTTGAAGACTTACCTGAATTTTTAACACTGAATTAATATATGGAAGAATTAAGGTAGTTGTTGTTTTGTCTTTGGTTGCTCCAAATAACCTTCCAAATATTAAAGTAAAAAATACTAATTTTACTATAGACATTTGTTTCAAAAGACGATTTAGATTAAAATAGTTAAGTTATTTACAGTAAGATTTTTCAATAGAAAATAATTCTTTGCATTAACTAAGAACCTAACCATAAAAGAAAATCAGTTTCAAAAATGATTAGGGTATCATATATTATATTATTTCAATTCAGACTAGTAGTTCCAAAGATTAACTCTTTCAACCAAAAACAAGTTACATCTTAGTGAACTTGTACAGTAAATTCATCTAGTGGGAAAAAATTTCAAGATCAAAGAAATGTTGACATAGGGCCTTATTTTCAACAGTAATGGCAAAAGTCAATTATTTCGTTTAAAACTGCTCAGGTGTTTCATATCAAGAGGTCACCATAACCCATGAACAGTTGCGAGACTAGAAAAAAACTAAACTAAGAAAAGAAAAAAGATCACTAGTATCATTTACTTTACATACACTATTTAAAATGAACTAATTTGGTTAAATTATTATTGAATATGCAAAATATTACCATTTTGAATCATTTAACTTTTCACTCATTCAAATGTTTGAATAGGAACCATTTAATCATGATAAAAACTAAAAAGAGAGTACCTAAGCTATAAGAAAATATTCTTTATATATTACACTTAGCATAAATATAATAATGTTATCTATATTTTTATGTAATATTTTATTAGAAAGTGTGAATAGATAATTTATTATGTAAGTTATTGTAAATTAAATTAAAGATAAGATATACGCCATAGATATCGGCCTTAGGTAATACAATTTTTTTCATAACAACATGATAAATGTTTAGTAATTTTATAAAGTAATATCAGAAAAGATTTCACTTCAAAGAAGCATTTCTAATGTCACAATTTTTTCTTCACCCATAATATCTGTTGGAATTATTTTTTTTGCTCTCTCATTAACAAAGCTCTTATTGAGATTTATTCACTCACTTTTGATGATACACCTTTTTTGTACATCCAATATTTTGACACAGATTTAATTATTTTAATTGAGCCTCATCTAATAAATATTACCATAATTAAATGGTAGTTGTAAAGGAACTTCGACTGCACGGATGGCGTAGTGGTTTAAGCGGTCGCCACGCCGCTTCCTACCACGCCGAGTGTTGTGGGTTCAAACCCCACATGGGACGACACTTTGTGTGATCCACAAATTGTTGTTCTGAGTCTGGGTGTTCTTTGTGTCCGTTTCATGTATGTTTGTAAAGTCCCCCGCAACACAGGATATATTCCTAATGCGGGAGTTGTCTTTATTTAAAAAAAAAAAAAAGTGCTCAACAAACAGGGATACTCACATTCTGTGAAAAGAAATGTGTTATTGTCTATTATTATACCAAACTCAAATTTAATGTACCCTCATATACAGCCCCTTTATAATTACTTCTTCAAATAGGCAATGAATGGATCATTCATAAATTTTAAACCAGGAAATATTAGAACATAAGTGAAAGTTGTGAAAGCAAAAGTTACTTGTCTATGGTTATAAGCCAGTATTACATTACTTTTGAGAAGTAAAATCAAAGAAAAAGGGTAAAAAGTTTTGAAAAGTTATTAAAAAATACATTTTATATGTCCTCTATTATCATTTTTTTTAACATATTGAATTCTATACAGAATAATATTATTATTCAATATTTAATTCTGCTCGTCTGCCCCCCTCTAACCTAAAAAAAAAAAATATAATGCCCATCAAGTAGCACACATGGGTGTAAACAGACATAGGTGTATTCATGCATAGCTTGTAGCTACTCAATATGTACTGTCTACAAAATATGTACTGTCAGAATTTCAAAGATGAGTTAGGCTTTACTAGTATTTAATATCGAGTGAGCCATATGCTTGTATAAGAAATTATGAGCAGCTAAATTAAACCACAAACATATATAATAGAAACAGAAAACAAAAGCTCCAAACTTCATACAATAACATATACAAACAATGGGTCAGAATCAAAAGCCAACTTTTGAGGTATTTTTTTTTTGGGTGTAGCATTAATGTATAGTACACAACATATGTCATCAATGGTAAAAAAAATTAAATAGTTAAAAGTACCCATCAATGTGTGATAAAAATATTAAATTATATTAAGAAATATATACTAAAATAAATTTTACTTTTCACTGATATGTACAGTAAAAATATACTATTTTACAATATTCTTAATTTACCGAGGTCTTTATTGTTTCAAGTTTTTTTCGTATGTGTGTAAACTTTGTCTATAGGCCAGGTCATTAAAACAGTTTTGAAAGTATGTATTAATATTTAAAATCAAATTTATAGTGCATGACATGCATATATGTTGTAATTCCCTTATCTATAGTCAAATAAGTTTTAATCTCTTTAAAGCCATTCAGTTCAGGTAATGACATATTTAACTTCAAAATAAAAGATTTCATTTTTTGTAAAAGCTAATTAATTAATTAATGTAATTAGCAAATTAAAGTTTTTAACGTGTTTTAATGAGACGAACTACTTCTAAAATCGAAATGCCAGAATAATTTGTTTATAATTCAAGTTTAGACCATGTTGCAATCAAATTTTTCTAGTAATGTTAAAATAGCTTATCGCTACAGTGTGGTAGTACAAATTTAAATCTTGAAATCAACAGATAAGTAGGTTAAAGGGTGAGAAATGTTTTAAAAGTACTGTTTCCTAAGCTAATGTTTCCACACTGAATTGCACTGAAGGTATTGCAAACAATAGAGAATAATTCTACTCAAGCTTGGCAGACACGCAGAATTGTCCTATTACTATTTATAATATCATATAGTTGCGCTTCAAATCATTCAAGAAGCGCCAACAAGAAAATAAGTTCGGTGACGTGACAATCGCATCTAAAGTACGTTTGCAAACTACTTATTTAAAACACAAGTCTTACAAGAACTATAAAATTTAAGTGAAACTTACCTGATCCGCTATGTCCTCAGCCGTAGACACATATTCGTTGGGAATTAGCATTTTTCGAAGCCGTTTCACAAGCACATTCACTAAAAAATGAAATTTCACTGCTGTCTGACCGTCACGTCAGTCTTTGGCTGTCGAATGACGTGTGGACAGTTGGAAACACTTCCTGCTTAACTAATTATCGTTTACGTATTTAACAATTAGCTAACTACATATAGATAATCATTGATAACAAAAAATATTTAAGGTAATATTACAATTTACTGTTACGGTAATATTGTGACTGTCATAGAGATTTAGAATATTAAAGTAGAAAATAAACAGGATGTTTTGATTTTTTAATCAAGATTGTGTGCAATAAATGTCAAAATGATGGAAACGTTTTGTAAGCACATGCACACTGGATTATTCATTTAACGTTACTGTTAGACTATTCATTAAGTTTTAACTATCCTTATCATTCATTAAGATTGTTTAGAATTTATTTTTTTAAACTGATATTCATTTCTTGTTGTGTTTCTTCTAGTTAATTCTTGGGTTTAAACTTAGTAAAGTAAAAATAAACCAAACTATCATTTAACTATAACAAAAACCATTGAAATTAATAACAAAACAGTGTTTCAGTGTGTATTAAGTGCTCAAACGATCTGAAGCGACGATAAAGTTTCCTTTGCAAAACTTTTCAAATAATACCATGTTGTCGTATATGATCATATCCATATATTTTAATCTGTGGTCATATTAGCATTGTGTCAAGTTGTTGAAGTTGTCAACATACCTACTTATCCATTTATTTTATTTATTATTATTGCTAAAAAAAGTCGTTGTGAACACCTATTATTGTATCTTTAAAGAGTGTGTACATATACATTTTTTATTTCGACAATTTGATTTTAAATGTAATAGTATTATATTGAAAAAATATAACCTATTTGTAGAGAATGCTGGAAGTGACTTGCAACGACCGACTTGGGAAGAAAGTTCGAGTGAAATGCAATCCGGACGACACTGTTGGAGATCTTAAAAAGCTTATAGCAGCACAGACCGGCACTCGGTATGATAAGATTGTTCTCAAGAAATGGTACACAGTGTTTAAAGATCACATTAAGTTATCTGATTGTATCCTTTTTTAATAGTAACTTAAACAAGTTTTTCCAAATTTGTATACCGACAATTTTCTAAAGCTATTTTCTATATATTTATTTATTTTATTTTAAGAAGGCTTACAGACTAATAACACACTTATAAAGAAAAATATCAATAAAAAAAGTATGTCCAAGTAAGTGAATCAAAAATACATTATAATAATACCAAACCAAAAACTTAACAGAACTGGTGGGTGGTGTCCGAGAGGATTTCCACTCAGGAAATAAAAGGTGCATAATTTCATGTACAGCATACAAGTTCTTGCTTCCTACTTTTTACATTTGGTTTTGACAGCCTTGGTGGTGCAGTGGCAGCGTATTTGACTGCTGTGCTGAGGTCTCTGGTTCGATTCCCAAATGTTTGTATGATCTGCATATATTTGTTTCAAAGTTTGGGTGTTTTCTATGTATAATATGTTTTTATTTACAAAAATAAGTATTTAAGTATTCTATCAGTCAATCTAGTTTCCATAGTACAAGCAATGCCTAGTTTGAGTGTAGTGTGTTGCGTTGTGTGTCAGATGTCCAAAAATATTATTATTATATTATTTCTCTAGACCTGTTATCCCTAATGCATCTCAACTCATGTTTTTAAACTATTTTCCCCACACTATTACTATACAAATTTTTCCTTAACCTTTTTCCTACAGATGAAATTCATGATGGCATGAATTTGGAACTTTACTACCAATAAAAGTGACAAGTCTTAATGTAATATTATTTTTATTAATTTTATATTTAAGTAAATTAAGGTAAATAAATATCTGTTGTTTATATTTTTATTTAAATGTGATTTATCCTCCTAACCCTATCCGTGTGGTGACAGATAAGAATACAGAGAGTCATCCCCCCAATTCATCCCGTGGATGTCGTAAGAGGCGACTAAGGGAGCAAACTACGCAGGAAACGAGCCCTGCAGGAAGAAGGAAAATTTGACGCAAACCCTGTACCAACTCATCTGGCTAGCGTGGTGTAGTAGGCCTCCTTTCTTTACCTATTTTATGTGAGAATGTTACATTATTATGTATAGTGTAATAAAAGTTTATATGTATAGAGTACTTCATAACAAATGACCATATCACATCAACAGCCTTTAATAGTCCACATCTGGACATAGGCTTTTACTTAAAAATGAGGTTTTGGTCTACTATACCAGGCTGGCCAGACGGGTTAGTATAGGGTTTGTGTCAAGTTTTGGTTCTCTTTGGAGTACTGTTGCCCTGCGTAGTTTGCTCCCTATTTCGGCTCTTGCGGTACCCACGGCCATTAGCCTTTCGGCACAAACGGGCCGGATATACTACACAGCCATGGTATCACTAGCCCCAGATCTAAGATTTTTTCGAACCGAGGCAGACTTGATGGTGACGCCACTCTCTCCAGCGTTTTAGATAAATTTCATAAAAAAAGCTCACAAATGTATAAGTACACTTGTAGGGTGGGGCAGTGTGGCTCCTTTTTCTTACAAGTCGACGGTGAGCCCACCAGGTTTCCGTATGCTAGGCGCTTTTCGGAGCAAGTTTTTTTTTATTTTTAATCATACTGTATTATGATCTTGGCGCCCCACGCTGGGGCAGAAGACCCTAATAAATGCCGGAAATAAAAAAATAAAAAGATGTCACTTGTTAGCCCTCATATATAAATTAATTAGAATACTAACTCATGTATTATTTGGCGGTATTTAAATGCCCTATAACAAACCCACTTCGTTACTACAGTGAAGCGTACTTACGTCTTGCAGACTACCCTATCCAGTATTAGTGATTTACGTGCAATTTAAGAGCCGTTTTGCGCTAAAAGTATTTATTTTTGGTATTGTTAAGCTATGGAACCTTCATCTTCAGGTATGTAACTATGTTTTAGAATGTTTTTTTTCTTTATTATATAAATAGTTTTAGGTAGACCAGGCTAAATTTGGGTGTGTAGAAAATTATTAGGCAAATAACGAAATAATAGATATTTTATTTTGTTTCTAAGCAATATTAAACTTTGCTTACTATCTAAAAATAATCTTTATAGTATCATCTCTTATAAACAATTTTTTTTTTTTTGCTATATTTTGCTAATTTTCATTATTATTAAAAAATATTTATTTCGTTTTAGGGATGTCCTCGAATACATTATTAACAACATACAATATAAGTCAAGATGGGAGAAAGCGTGTAGAATAAAAGAAAATTTTAACAAAGATTGGCTTCAGACATCACTTTCTTTTCCATGCATTGGGTCAAATATGATACGCGGCCGACCGGTTACTTCTTTTGAAAATTCCTCAGTAAATAGAAAACGTGCCAAGACTAAGCAGTTGCGGGAATCAACTTCAGCTTCAGAATTAGTTTATGCTACTTGTATGAGTCTACGAGCTAAAGGTCAAGTAAAAGGCTCAAATATTTTGAAGTTTGTTAAGCAATGACAGAAACTACTTCAACCAGATATTTCGTTTCTTTATACCCGTGGTACAACATACCACCTACTCTGCATAAGTATTTCATTCATGGACCAGAAATTATGTATATCCTTTTGCACTGCCCACTATCGGACAATTAACAAAAGAATCACAGGAGGCAAGAAACAAGGCCTTTAAGCGCCATAGAGAGCATAATTCGAAAAAATGTAGCAGAGAAAAATCCAATATGGGTAATTTTTTCCTCTTTTTTTACTGAGCTCTGATCCCGTAATCACCAGTAAGCAAAAGTTAGTCAAAAATAAAGTGAAAAATATTCCTAAAGAAGCACTGTTCATGTTGAAAGCTCAATTTCTAAATAACTCAGATGATAATACTACAGTCGATGACGATCATAATGATGAAGATGACGATGCTTTAAACATATCTGCAATAGGTATCATACTGCTCGTCTGCCCCCTCTAACATAAAAAAAAAAACTATACTTGAGAAATACCGCTTTTCTTTTGGTAAAAAATATATAATGTGTTATTTTTAAACAATAAAAATGATGATGTTAATTACCTGAATTGTTTTTTTCTGTTATTACATATGTCTATGAGAACACTCGGTCCACTTTAGAACGTCTAACAGCTTTAGTATATTTGATGGCAGTTATAAGGGTCTCCTGCCCCAGTGTGCGCCCCCTGAAACAGCCGCCCGGGGCAGGTGCCCCGGTTTGCCCCCCCTAGATCCGGAGCTGAGTGAGGGAGGTTACCGGAGCCCAAACATTCCTCCGACCACTGATTTGACGAGGCGGAGAAGACTTAAGTGTTGGCAATGCACTTGTGGACTCTTGAGTTGCAAGTGTCCATGGGCGGCGGTAATCACTTATCACCAGATGACCCGTCAGCTCATTTTCTCTCCTATGCCATAAAAAGTATAGTTAAAAGGACAGGCAACTTTAATCCTTTTGTACCGCTTTTTTGAAGTTCAATATCAATAAGCAGAGGCGGCCTTTGGGGATGGGTAGATGGGCCCAATTCGAAAAATATTTATTTAAATTAGCCGTATTTCAAATCTAACGTTTATGCTACTCGCGCGCTTGCGTGGACTACCAAGCATTCTGTTTATGCTTTCATGTTCGAGCAGCAGTTTGTGTTGCTTTGCATATTTTATTTCATGAATCATCATCAAAACTATTTCCTCAAAGACAAGGGTCTCGCAATGATCTACTCGTCCGGAGCCTCGTAATGATTCACACGCCCGGGGCCTCGCAATGGCTAAGCCTCCGTCACTGTCGACAAGCATATAGATAAATAGCTCACTTTATCTAAGCATTGACATTTTTAATCTGATCCCCAATCAGACACCTCTGAATTAATTTTACGATTTTTAGTACGATTTTTTTTTTACCAAGTTATAACAAAATTTAAAATTTTATAGCTTTTCGTAATAAAAAATTCAAAGTATCTAGACCTTTTCACGTAAAATACGATTGAAATATAATACTTTAATATAATATTACATATTACTTTACTCTATGAATACACCTCCTAAAATAAAGCAATGTAACAATCGACACTTTTTATTGCCAAAGAGAAGTATTGACACTACTTGCTAAAATTTTTAAAGTGGCATTTAGCAAGCCAATTGGATTATAACAGGCATGTATGATAGAACCGTGGATAGAACTAATCTTCGTTGTAACTAGTTTATAAGAATTACAATGAATAAATACAGATATTTCACCGCGCGTTTTTTTTTCTCAAAATTTTCGCGTTTATTTTGAATTAAATCAGATTTTTCGTTCGAATATTATTCCGCCAGTGCTAAATAGCTCCCATGTGTTACAGAATTTTACAAAATAAAAGCGCAATAAAATATCGATGTGCGGATGGGGCCTAAAGTGAGAGCGCTCGCGGCAACTTTACGCTAGGCATGGGACAAAATCACAGTGAACTATGAAAGACCGGTGATTTATCATTCGATTTTTTCGTACGTTGGTTACTTACTCACTCGTTGTTGCATTTCGCCTATTCAACGGTAAATTTAGTAATTATTTTATAACATATAGCTACCATTCCCTACAAAAAATACTAGATTTAGTGTTAAATAGCGTGCAATCTACTTACCTAGCAACTCCAACCTACGTACGCAAAATTCGAATGAAAAATAACAGTTCACTGTGATTTTGTCCATGTCTACAGGCCAGTAATATAGCTCACTAGTGTTTCCGTTGTTTATTTTCATTCAATTGACCTGGAATAATCATTCATTTCATTCTCTCCGCCATTGTGGATTGTGGTTTGTTTTGTCGTGTCGAATGGTGTTAGAAATTATTTGTAAATTAAAATTAGTTTACTGAATGTATATCATTTACTGTATTATCTTTTAATATGAAGGTGCTACTAGCATTTTAGTTGTTATTTGTATTATAAGTGTAGTAGGTTAGTGTTAAGATGACGGATGTCGAAGGTAAGTATCGTGTTAGTATTTTTGTGAAATCAACTAAGGCTTCGTTGGGGTTCTTGACTAATGTTTGTTGAATTTCAGAGTACAATCAGCAAAAACCCGCCAAGACGGGTAAACAGCACAATGTATTACCGATATGGGGTAATGAACAAACTATGAACCTGAATCCGCTAATATTAGCAAATATACAGGGCTCTAGCTACTTCAAAGGTAGGTAAGCAAACATACCAACACACAGGAGATTGGACTTCGTTTGTTCCACATAATTATTTTAATTTCATTTGCAATTACTTTTACATTATTTGAACAGTATATACTTTTTCATTTATTAAGTAACTTTATATTGGTAACAAGAAATAATAAGTTATAAAATTTCTCGAAGTATTCATCGTTTTAAAACATACATCATTTTAAAATCTTTAGTCATTACATTAGTTTGTTTCCAAACTGGTGGGTAATTACTAATTAAATGTCAATTATTGTTATCTGCAGTGCATCTATTCAAGTTGAAGACATACCATGAGGTCGTGGATGAGATCTACTATCAGGTCAAGCACTTGGAGCCGTGGGAGCGCGGTAGCCGCAAGACTGCTGGCCAAACTGGCATGTGTGGCGGCGTGAGTATGTGCAACAGTGTTGTAATAGTTACTTTTTATTATCTGTTATCATGTGTAGACTGCAGTCTAGGTCTGGTTTCCATATTCAAAACTTGCAATATCTCTTAGCTTGCCTTTTTTGATTAACATTCCTCTTTTGCTCTGTCTGTACATTCTCAAGGAGAGTTAGTATTAGATATGAAAGAAACTAGCCAGAACTAAATGTGTATGCATTATCACAACTTCAAATAAAATTGGGATGAGAATGGGAAAATAATGATTACTACAACATAGTATTTTAGTCATACTAAGTATTAAGTGGGAAGCTGGTTCAAATTTGGCATAGTGCCAAATACACTGTCACGGTTACGAACATATCTAGGTCAGCATTTGTGCAGTGATGAAGTTTGATTTAACAAATTTTGTAGAAGTGACCAAAATGTGTATTAATTTGTGTATAGTTGGTATCAAGTGTTATGAGAAGGCATTCATGAAGGCATATAGATGATCAGATCCTTCCCATCCAGTCCTTTGTACATACATTGTCAAATCCTTCCCATCCAGTCTGTTATAAATATATTGTCAAACTGTTTGTTTTATGTTGAAAAGCTATGATTCATTAGATTATTGCCTATTTTGGTTACTTAATACTTAAAATTTTATTTGGTTGTAATTTTTGAGAGACAAATCTTTTTATTCAGGAACTGACCAATACACATAAAATTTACATGATATACACAAAATAGGGTTTACATATTTGGTAATTGACTATATTTTTTTTATTGTTGTACAGGTACGAGGTGTAGGTGCCGGTGGAATTGTGTCCACAGCATTCTGTCTTCTGTACAAACTGTACACATTACGGCTGACTCGTAAACAGGTCAATGGATTATTGCAACACACTGACTCACCCTATATCAGAGCACTTGGTAGGTATGATATTTAAATTCCTTTTTTTACTAACTATACATCATATAACATTAACAATTTAGACATCAATTTAATATTTAGAGAACCTTAACAATGATTCTAAGACTAAATTTTCTGACTTAGACTGCATGAATGGCGTAGTGGTTTAAGCGGTCGCCACACCGCTCACTACTACGCTGAGCGTTGTGGGTCCGATCTCCACACGGGACGACACTTTGTGTTATCCACAAATTGTTGTTCTGAGTCTGGGTGTTCTTTATGTCCGTTTCATGTATGTTTGTAAAGTCCCCGTGACACAGGATAAATTCCTAATGCGGGAGTTGTCTTTTAATAAAAAAAGGTTGCCTGCAAGAGAGCACAGACTGCGATAAGGCCGCCCATTGTATCACTGTTTTTTTTGTATTCTGCATTGTATGCTTCCTAATCATGGTGTGCAACAAATAGTACTTATTTATCTAACAGTTGCACATTCTAAAAATAAATTTGATAGTAGATACATCTTATATGTAAAATTCTCGTGTCACAATGTTCATTCTCGTACTCCTCCGAAACGGCTTGACCGATTCTCATGAAATTTTGTGTGCACATCGGGTAGGTCTGAGAATCGGCCAACATCTATTTTTCATACCCCTAAATGGTAAGGGTGACCCATCCCTATTTTTTTTTGTTTTGCAATACAACGTTTGCCGGGTCAGCTAGTAGTATATGAAGACATGTCGTGTTGTTAATCCAGGTGACAATGTTGTTGCAAGAGCTATTCTTTGATCTTTTCTTTGTTAAAAGAATCCACGAAGCGAAGATCAGTTCTCATGGGCCTGAGATGACATGACAATATCTTTGTTTGACAATCACATCTGACCTCGGTTTTATTCTTACGCTTAACATTTTAGTATAAACTTTTGCTTAGGCCATTAAAACACAACTATATTGTGACTGACTGCCTCGGTGGCGCAGTGGTAGCGTATGCGTATGTTTCTGTGATCTACAAATATTTGTTTCGGAGTTTTTTATGAATAATATGTAGGTATTTACAAAAAAAAGAGTACATAAGTATTCTATCAGTCAATCTAGTTTTCATAGTACCAGCTCTGCTTAGTTTGAAACTAGACGTCGTTGTGTGTTAATGTCCAAATATAATTATTATTATTGTGGTGTAAGATGTGTCTGAAACATGTCAATTAGCAGCTATTTAAATTAATGCAATAAACATCACTTGAGACTAGACTTGCAACGAATAGTATATTCGGCAGTATACCGAATACCGAATATTCGGCGAGGCCCCTGACCGAATAGCCGAATATTAGGCAAAAGTATTCGGCTGGATTTTAGCGCCAAAAACTTGTACAGACGTGAATTAAATTATGTACCTGTTTTATGTACCAATGACTACTTAATAAATGATTATAAAAGAAATGAGAACCTTACCCTTCTAAATTTTGATTACCACAATAATTCAAATACATAGAATCTTCCATTTTTCCAATTCAGAAGATGATTATGTACCTGTGTTATGCACCAATGACTACTTAAATGATTATAACAGAAATGAAAATATTAATATATACGTAATCAATCGATTTTAATTTTTCATTTTACCAATTATTTCTCAATGACAAAATATATTATTTAAGTATTCGGTATTCGGCCGAGTAATATGTAGATATTCGGTATTCGGCCGAATATAATAAAAGCAGCCGAATAGGCCGAATACCGAATAGTAACCGAATATTCGTTGCAAGTCTACTTGAGACACAAAGAATTTCGAAAATAAGGTTATGCTAAGTAAACTAATATTTTTGCGTTTTCTAGCTTGCCAAGAATAAAATTTTAATAGTTGGTCATTCTTAAAATTTTGTAAAAAAAGTGGTAAGTTTTGATTTGTAGAAAAAAAAATATCCACTGTAATATAATCTTAAATGATCTTGCTTGTTAGGAAATGGTACCTTTATAGTTTAGGGTGACATTATTACGCAGGTTTAATACTTATAATTACCATACATTTGAGTAGAACTGGACTATTAGTTAATCAATTGGTCATTTGTGCAGGATTCATGTACATCCGCTATACACAGCCACCACAGGATCTGTTCGACTGGTATGCAGACTATTTAGACGACGAAGAAGAAGTTGATCCTCGCGCCGGTGGCGGGGGTTCAACCACCATCGGAGCACTCGTGCGGCAGATGCTCATCAAGCTTGACTGGTTCAGTACACTTTTCCCGAGAATTCCAGTCCCAATACAGAAACAGATTGAGCAGAAGTAGGTAACTTGTTCTCTTTTGGATATTAATATCTTTTTTAAGGCATTCCACTCCAGGCCATAAAGATAACAAATTGGAATTAAAATCAGATGTCTGCTGCTATCCTTTATAAGATTTAGCGATTTAAGCCATAAATATACATTTACCTAAAATCTTGAAATATACCGAAGGAAAAAAATCTGACAGACTCTAATGACAGAATGACAGAATCTGAATCTAATGTTTAATTTTATTGCATTTTTTTTGCCTTTGCTTATCAGAAACTTGTATACCAGCAAAAAGATTTTTAATTCTGACGAAATTAAGTTACTAAAAACCATTATTCAAAATGTCGAAAAGCCGGCTCTCATAGTTTATAGCTTGACAATTTAAGTGTACAACATGTGAGCCGACTTTTTGACATTATATGTAATTTTTATATTTAAATGTAAGCCATTTAAACTGTCAAGCTATAAACTATAGCAGCCGGCTTTTCGACATTTTGAATATAATACATACTTAAATAAGACTTTTTGTAATTATTTGCTCATTCAATTTCTATTGAGCATTGGAAACAATGAAGATTCTGCTATCTTGCTACTTTACGCAGTCTATCACAAGGATTTTGTTTTGTGTTTTAATAACTTCCTGTAATTTATCAACATGTGTTGCTCTATGACTGAACTTGTTCTGATGCGTTCATAATCAAGTTTTGTAAAACATTAGGTTAGGAGAGCACAACAGGCAATCTGCAGCATCAAAACCTGTAGCGAATTTAAGCAACCGTGGAGCTGGCAATGCTGGTGCTTATAATCCTGGCAGAATGGACTCTGACAGAAGAGAACACGACGATAGGGACAGACGAGATTATGCTGATGGCGACAGGTAAATATACCAATGGCCACTTAAAACTTAATGTGTTAATGTCAGGGTTGCTATATATCTATATGTAGAGAGGCAAGAGCTTGACAGGAAGCGTTTAGCTATGCGTCTATCTGTGCCGATATTTTCGAAGATCAGAACGTTGGCACACAATCCAATCGATTTTCGAATCAGATCCATGTGATTGCGGATCGATTCAAAACTAACAAAATTTAGTTTTAAAAAACTAAAAAAAACTTGCACTTGAAGCTAGCCGAATTAAAAAGTAGGAAATAATTTTCTAAAAGTTCAAACAGAAAAAGATTTTATTGTAAAAAAGCGATGGCTGCGCTAGATCTCAATTGTTGTAAACGTCATGTTATTATATTATAAAGTTCCTTTAAAAACACCCTAGGCGTTCAACTATGTTTAATTGTTAAAAACAAGTGAAGATACAACAAATCTTACATGACATATAAAAAAATATTCCTCGGTCCCTCGATCACCAAGTGTAAATACGACTGTAATGAATGTGGGATCAAATCAGCCTTGGATTGTGATCGATCATTAGAGAATCGGATCAAATGCATCGGATGGGATCTAGACGAAAAAAGAGAGAGAATCGGCTTAAGCTTAAAAAAGCGCATCCTTAGTTTAATTCTGTATGGGGGTAATAGTCAGAGCAGGTCATCATGAGTCGTGAACGTGAACAATACAAGGCGTATAAATAAACATTCGTGGTTTGAACTCTGCACGAGTAATTTGATTAATAGTTATCAGAATAATTGTTTCACTAATGTTCTATTAACTTTTTTACAGGTACACTAAAGACAGAACACGTTACGATGACCGGAACAGAGAACGTGAGCGGGACAGAGATCGCGGGGAGCGGTCGGACCGCACAGATCGCGACAGGGAACGACGGGACCGTGATCGTCGAGAACGATACCGTGGCGACCGCTCGCGATCGCGGGAGCGCCAGCGCCATCGGTCGCGCTCTAAAGACCGCCGCTATAGATAATACATTATTGATGTCTCTACGAAAGAATAAATGTTCTGGATTATAGATATGTTTTATTTTGTTTTCTAACAAGCCATAAGTCCAAAGAAATTATCTGTTACTTGTTATATTATGTGAAAGTAGTGTCTAGAAGGTAGGCAATGCTGTCTTTCCAAATGCCTTTACTGGCCACCTTTTTTTGGGTATTATTTGCTATGTTACTGGTATAAAAAATGTATTGCATTGTGATAAAGCATAACAGGTAATTTACTATCATTAAAGCAATTGTGATCTCTTTACGCAACTTCGAAGAAACTTACTGATTATGAATACGCAAGTATGCAACACGAACATATTTCTTAAGTAAATAAAACATTGTATTGTATGTAAATGAAATCATTTAATTCATATGAAAACTAAGTAAGTTATTAAAAATGCAATGCATCTGAAACAGTAGACAAGCTTATAGCTTACAATAAATACAGAATAAATTGAAAATAATTTGGATCTTTATAGAAACATGTGCAAATTATAGCAGCTGTATTGCGTAATTCTAAGCCGCGGCGCCTTTCACATTCTCTTGTTGTTCAAACTTTGGGTATTTTTGCTCCACATTAGCCCAGGATATTTTACTGTTTGCCAGGTCTCTAACAACAATAGGAACGTCACTTAATGGCAGTCTTACTTGACCCATGCTATCTCTTTCTCTCAATGTCACACTATGTGGTTCTTTCATTGTATCAAAATCAACTGTAATAGCATATGGGACCCCCAATTCATCAGTTCTTGCGTATCGACGGCCAATAGAGCCCGAGGAGTCGTCTACTTTGTGGGATACATCTACATTTGTTAATTCTTGAGACAATTCTCTGACAAAGGGTTGGAACTCAGCATTACCACTAAGTGGCAAGACAGCACATTTCATCGGAGCAACTGCCGCTGGCAAAGCAAAATATGTCCTCTGCTCATCTCCATCTCTCATTTTAAAGTTCTGTTCCAAGATGCTGTAAAGAATTCTGCCAACACCAAATGACGGTTCAATGACGCTTGGTATGATTTCTTCAACATGAACTGTCTTCTGAGATTTCTTTACAGTAACAAGTTTTGGTGTAAGCTTAAAATCACCATTAGGAGTAGAAAGCACATATTCTCCATCACTTTCTAACTTGGCTTGAAGTCCTTCTAAAGCTGTGGAATCCATTGCTGCCAGTTCATCATTGATAACCTTGGCATCCTTTTTAAACTCTTTGCCTATAGCAGCTTTATTAGGCAGAGCTTCAACAACTTCAATTTGTTTTGGAGCAGGCAATTTCTTCTCTGCTGCTAGCCTAGTTCCAGTAGCCTTGGTATGTTGGGTTAGGTCATAAGCTGATCTATCAGCACAGCCCACACATTCTATCCAGCCATAACTTGTAAGACACTCAGCATCCCAACAGTCACAGGCGTAGTGAGCCATCTCATTGCCCATATGTTGCCTAAATCTCAACTTTTTAAGATCTATACCAACAGCCAACATGTACAGGTGTATCCTAGCCATGAAGTAACCAAGAGTTTCATTATTGACAATGCCTTTAGAAACAGCATCACCGATTGTCATGATTTCAGCAGGTTTACCCTGCTCTTGGTTGTTAGCAGAGTAAAACAACATTTGGGTGTCTTTCACAGATTCAAATTTAGGATGGTCCTTTGTGTCACAAAAGTGCTCAATTTCACACATAGTGAACTCTCTGACTCTAAGTAGGCCTGAACGGGGTGATATTTCATTCCTGAAAGAGTTACCAATCTGAGCAGCAGCAAAGGGAAGTCTGCCTTGATTGAATTCCAAAAGACGTTTGAAGTTAACAAAGATACCCTGAGCAGTTTCTGGCCTCAGGAAGCCTTTCACCAATCCGCTAGGCCCAATTTGAGTGTTGAACATCAGATTAAACTCAATTGGTGGTGTCAGCTCATTGCCACTTATAGGAGACTTCATTTGGAACCTCTTCATGAGTGCTTCCATCTCAGCAGCAGTCATTCCATCTAATTTTACAAGAATATCTTCAATTTCTGCTTTCAAATCTGCTGTAGTGTTTTTCTCACATTTTATTTTTTCAAGATGGGCCTTTATCAAATGGTCTAACCGAAAGCACTCACCAGATTTTACATCTTTTGTCATAAGATCAGCAAACCGTTCTACATGTCCAGATGCTTTAAGAACTGGTTCAGGTGTCAAAATTGAGCAATCTACCTCTAACATCTGTTCTTGAAGAATGAAGTGCTTCCTCCAAAGTTGGATCATGTTGCTTTTGAGAGCACATCCCATAGGTCCGAAATCAAATTGACCAGTGATGCCACCATAAATAGCAAAGGACTGGTCATAAAAGAACCTCCTTTTGATAAGGTCCTCCATTTTAGCACGATCAAAGAGCTCTTCTGAAGGGGCGAGACTAAGTTCCTTATCCTCTAAAATTTTTTTGCGAGTCTTCAATTCGGCTACAGCTTTCTTTATGTCAATTTCTGGAGCTTTCTCTTCTTTCAGTTTTCTGACTAGGTCCCCCTGTTCCTTGACTAAGGCCCGCAGTGGCGCCAGAATTTCTTCAACTTTAGGGTCAGCCATAATAATTTCTCTAAGAGGATTCGGTATTTTAATTTTCCTATGTAGTTTATTACTGCCCCACTGCTGATCGTGGGAAAATCTGACTTGTTTGCTGATAATGGGACGATATTTACTAAAAACACTACACTTATACACTAATGCTAACACGTTTCTCATTTAACTAAGCATTAATTTTCCAACTTATAATAATACTCCATCTGGCAGCCGGTAATGAGTTTTTTGATCGCGTGGTAGATGACGAAATCGTGGATTGTATTATTCTACAAGACTGAGCATTCCAATACTAATGACGTTGCACGTCAAATCCTAGCATGCTTAGATAACGTCAATAGTATTGAGCTTCTGTCTGCTGTGTAAAAGAGATAGACTAAAATTTATAAGCTACAGATTTATCATATGTCTAAAAGAAATCGAAATGAAAACGAGAAATGACATTTTCGACAAAATTTCTACACATTCATAAAAGAGCTACTTCTATAAAAATTGTTAAAATTAAAAATTTAGTAAACGTATTTTATAAATGAAATAGGTGATAGCTATAACAACTTTTTTCTCACTGGTACTAAAATGCAATAAAAAAGGAAAAAGCGAATAGAAAAAAACTGGCAACACCTACATCGTATGTCTCTTTCTTACTTGAAATCACTGCATCAATGTTTGTGAGATGAAGCGTGATAGGAATAGTTTTAATTATTTGTTTTCTTTTTCAAATATATCAGTTTTGACAGCACAAAGGAGTCGGCCATTTTATTACTGATTGGAGAATGGGGGGTGAAGCTGAGGCTTAGTGTTCGGTGTTGTTATATTTTAATTGAGTTATTTTTCTAAATATCCGTTTTAACCACGTACAAAACAGTATACGTATTTAGTGTAAGTTTAGGTGTATTTATGTATTGACGATAACATAATAACAATGGACGATCCGAATAGAATGATGGCGCACGGCGGTGGGCTCATGGGGCCACAGGGCTACGGTTTAGCTGGAGGCGAAGGCGCCCCAGCTGCCGGTGAGGGCGAAGCGCGTAAGCAGGACATTGGTGAAATATTGCAGCAGATCATGAACATTACTGATCAGAGCCTTGATGAAGCGCAAGCAAGAAAACACACGCTAAACTGTCACAGAATGAAACCTGCGCTATTTTCAGTATTGTGTGAAATTAAAGAAAAAACAGGTACATGATTGTTTGAAATGTTGTTGTGTCATATGTTAATAGTCTTCGTGTATATAGGGTAATGTCTATTTGGTAAAGTAAACGTGCTATGATTAGTATTCTATAAATCTTTAATGTAGTCAATAGGTAAGAAGGAAAGAGCGTTATTTTACAATTGCGTGATTTTATATTAGAACATTTAGATTTCGAATAGTAAATGGTTCTGTTAAATTATGTAAGTAAGTTAATATATTATATATAGATGTAATCTAATGATTTCTAAATATTAATGTATAAATTAATTTACTTTGATGAAGTAACTTGTAGTGTTTTCTATTTTAACATAGCTTCTAGCTTTGATCTATTTAGTCCATATACTAAATATTAAAAAAAATTATCAATGTTACATACTCAACTTTTATAAAAAAATCCACTTTGAGTAGATATTAAAAAAAAAACAGTTCATTCTAGTCAATTTGTTTTGATAAAATTGGATGGTTTATCCTCACCACTCCATCAATTTACACAAATCCAGTGCCCGACAACCGAAACCAAAACTCAATCTTTCATCATTAGCTCACTTGTCCCCAAACACACTAAAAAGAGAGCTCACAAGTTAGGCGGGAAATTAACCGAAAGAAGCACGCTGAGTTTCGGTGCGGCCGTCAATTCGGACAGTTTTGACAGAAAAAAAATTTAAAACGAAATTAGATTTTTGGCTGAAACTGACCGAAACCGAACCTTCAGTCAGTCACTACATAACTCCTTATCCTATAGCATTTTATCTCTACAGGTGTATCATCAATCATAAATTTTTTTTTAACTATGACTAGAAAAATGAACAAAGTTTAGAGCTCTTTCTATTGTGTCTGATACAAACTATATAATACATGACATTGTGATAATTGATGAACACATCTTTACTTCTCACTCACTATGACTCACTTGGGCAGAGTATCAGTGTCACTGTAGGACTTGCATAAATGAATATTCTTTGTGTTAAAAAATGCCTTTCTACCGGCAACAGTACTTAGTAGAAAGCGACGGTAGCCTAGTGGTTAAGGCATTGGACTTGGCTTTAAATGTTTAAACGCTGACCAGTACACTACCTGCTTGAACCCACTCCTAACACAAGCTATTAAGCTTAGCAGGAGAACTTAACGAGAATACTAGTAATTTTGGTTGCTAGTAGACCTAATAAAAAAAATATATAAATAACCTGCTAGGTCAAGTGCTGCAAATTAAAAAAGAAACTGTGGGAGATTTGATCACCCTTAGGTTTAATTTTTTTTAAAAGAACACATTCCCATTTTCGTGATAATCGACTCAGAGTTCCATTCAGATTTCCAATACTTAACATTAAAAATGTTTAAGTCTAAGTCATATTCTTTACTCATACACAACTCTATACTACCTTAAATCACCGAAAGTTTTTTCCAAAAAAATATTAGTAAATTTTGTTTTGGTGTAGTTCTGTCCCTCCGCAACACGCAAGAGGAAGAGCCACCGGATCCCCAACTGATGCGCCTTGACAATATGTTGATTGCTGAGGGTGTTGCTGGACCTGAAAAAGGCGGAGGTGCCGGTGCTGCCGCATCAGCGTCTGCTGCAGCAGGAGAGTGGGGTAAGGGATAAATGAAATTTATTTCTGTAAGTAAATCTTTTCAGATATTTTTATAAGTTGGAAGGATTTATGTTCTAGTTGTAAAAATTAAAGTTTTTTTTACACCGTTTGTTCTATCACATCACCAAAGTTGCTCTGTTATTAATTCCATAATAACAAGTTAAATTGATACTATAGTCTCACTATTATATTTCGATTGAATTGTATACTGTGTAACAGTGTTTTGTGATCAAAATATTGTCAACCTCAATCAATTGTCAACCTGTAATTGTTTGACAATATTATCAGCATACTTTTTAAGATCAGTACAACCAATGAAAAGTACTATATTGGATTATTGAGTGCTCAAAATGGGGGTTGGTAAGATACCTATTAGTTTCGCCATTATAACATAATTGGCCTAAGAAACATGTTATTATAAGACTGTGTTTGCTTATATAGTCACCAGGAGTTTTGTGTATTTAGCTTCCAGAAGAACAGCAGCCTTCTGAGGCGAATAGTGAGGAAATTTGTGCAACCATATTGTTAACAGATTTAGTAGATAAACTTCAATATCTATTACTTTAGTCAATACTTAAGTTTAGCATTTTATAATGAACAGATAACGCAATCGAGCATTCCGACTATCGCGCTAAGCTGGCGCAGATCCGCCAGATCTACCATCAGGAGCTGGACAAGTATGAGAATGCTTGCAACGAGTTCACTACACACGTCATGAACTTGCTCCGTGAGCAGAGCCGCACCAGGCCCATTACACCTAAGGTTTGTATTATTTATTTATTATGAAAATAAAATTAAATCTGTAATCTTTATTCCTATGTTTTGTCTATTTATATGCATTTATTTCAATAAGAATTTTATTTTATTAGTATATACCTGTTTTATGCAAATAAAAATGATTTGATTTAATTTGATTAGCAGTTTTTAATTTAATTCTATTTAACACTTCTTTTTAAGTGATGATTTTAATATTTATTAGTAATTTAATCGAAAGGTTTTAAATTAAGATATAGAGACGACTATTAACTCCAGCATTAAAAAAAAAAAAATAAGGACAACCCTTACAAATAACCACGACATTTCAACAAAGTGTTTGCAATTCGAGGCTTAATGTTCTTATTTTGACTTAAAATTATTGGTCATCAGGAAATCGAGCGCATGGTGCAGATCATCCACAAGAAGTTCAGCTCCATCCAGATGCAGTTAAAACAGTCCACTTGCGAGGCCGTTATGATACTGCGCTCTCGGTCAGTAAACTTAAACAGCCTGAATACAGCATGGTTCATCATCGTACATCATTGTTTAGAATTACTGTGGTTGCATAATTAGGACGTATTTTTTTTTAAAGCCATTAAAATATGTACTATAGAATCTTTTAAAATATTTATACACAATCATTCCATATACACCTCTTTATCAAAAAGGTAGGAGATACCCACTCCTTGCCATGATTTGATCCAACTACCCTGGTAGTTTTTTTACCCCAGTTCCTGTTTTTTTTGTCTGAAAACGATTACTTTTTCATGGAAGGGTACATCAAGCAGGCAGCCGGCTATAAAAAAACCGGCGAAAATCAATTTTGCAATGTTAGTTATTATAAAATAACAGGAATGGCGGGAAATTATTGATGACTGGTAGACATAGTGTAATAGTGTGATGTTGGTGTGACGTGTTGCAGGTTCCTTGACGCGCGTCGAAAACGCCGCAACTTCAGCAAGCAGGCTTCAGAGATACTTAACGAATATTTCTACTCACATCTGTCGAACCCCTACCCCAGTGAAGAGGCAAAAGAGGAGTTGGCAAGAAAGTGTGGCATTACTGTATCCCAGGTATTTAAGCAAATATTGCTTGGTGTGATTGTTGATTTCATTTTGCAGAAAATATGAACAGTCCGTATTGTGATCGAGCCTATTGTTGGTCAGATGTATACAGATGTCATTTCCTTTTCCTGATTGTCAAATAAAACCTCAAGTCATGGTTATGATCATCATTTTTTAGTTTTACCATGTTTCCACTTTTAACATTTGCTAAACACTAATTTTCATTATGTTAAATTAACAATAATCCTTAGGTACATTCAATCTAATGTAAGCTTATTTTGTTAACTTCCTATATGATACTTTATAAGGTTCGTACATTACTAATACAGCTAGGGGCACTAAATAGTGTCCCCCGCTGTGTATTAGTTCTCTGCAAAATTTAAAAAGTAAATACTCGTCATTAATGTTGTGTATGTATGTTAACCTTTTTTACCGTTGTAGGTGTCCAATTGGTTTGGCAACAAACGCATTCGTTACAAGAAAAACATTGGCAAAGCGCAAGAGGAGGCCAACCTGTACGCCGCAAAGAAAGCCGCCGGTAAAATCTTCATATATTTGTATATGAAAATACACTTTTTATAATTTTCATTATGAAAACAATCTCATTTGTAGTAATATTCCACTATTTATAAAGTACAAGTGAGATTGTTTTCATAATGTATTTTATCAAATTCCACCAAGTGCCGACAATCGAGAGTATAAATTAAATAAAAAAAATATAATTTAATTAATTTTGCGATTTTAATAGAGTAACTAACTTAAAACCTTTACTTAAGTTTGGAAATTTGAACTTTCATAATATTTAAAAAGCAAAATATTTGAAATCACTTAAAAACATAAGTACAGATTCAAATGCCTCCTCCAGATAATTTTTTGCTTGGTTTTTATTTTAATTACTTATTTTAGATAAGTACCCCATGTCGCAGAGTTTTTACTTACACAAGAAAAAAATTATTGAACTAAAAAAAAAATTCGTACATCTTTGTTGTCATAATAGTTTTAATATTTTTAAGTGTCTATTAACAAAGTTACATAAATTATTACATTTGGTGATAACCTACAGTTATTTCAATATATAATATAATATTCAATATTTATAATATACACGGTGATTTTGAAAGCGTTTTGGAAAAGAAAATTTTGAGTTATTTATCAGTAACAGAAGCTATATATAACGTTAATTTAATAAAATATATTTTTTTTTATCATCAAAGTCGATATTCATATCGTTTACAGAGAAAAAGTCAGAACCAGTAGTAGTAGGCTATTCAATCACACGTAGGTAAATACTACGAATAGAAATACTATGCGTGTCACATCAAATCGTATTCGCCAATAAAAACAAAGCTACCGAGTTGCGCCGGAGTCGTCCAACCAATGACGTCTGCCCCGTAGGCGCATGCGCGGTGCTCACCTGTCATCGTCAGTCGGTCAGTAATACCATAACATCGTGACGGCACGCTGCATTGATTAGCGCTAAAATGAGTCGACAGTACGAATTTTCAAACGTGGAATACTTCTTGGCAATGGTACAGCTGTACGCTACTGCCAACTACAACTTGGAAGAGGCTCGGCGTTTGTATTCCCAAGCCGGAGCATTTAAATGCACTACGGCTACGTGGAATTGAAAGCCCTCAAATTCCCTCCACACCTACTATCTTGGCTGCAACCCAACGTCTTCTCGACCACGGACAATTTCGTGCGCCTACTCATGCGCAAGGTCAAGGACGTTTTAATTATTATTCGCCGGAGTGTAGTGCGTGCATACCTGGACAATGAGCTTAGTGATCGGACTTAACGCCCCTGGATTTTTTCTTATGGCCGGAAATAAAAAGACTTGTTAATACACGGGAATATGAAAGCCGTGATAATTTACGCATTGCGATAGTGGACGCTTTAAAGTGAAAAGTGATAGAGACACATTAAGAAAATTAAAAAACAATTGCATTAAACGTGGACGTTTGTGTATTGAATGCAGCGGACTCCATTTTGAGCAGTTCCTTCGATACAGAGAACTGTAAATAGTGTAAATAGGTATGTAAGTTAATTATTCTGTAGATAGCTCCGATTTTTTAAATACGCCTGAAATATTTATACCTACAGTCCGTTGATAAATTGATTTGTTGTGAAAAGAACAATCGTGGTTAATAATCGAAAAGAAGTTTAAATAAAATAGGTATTTCTGACGGTCCTAAGCCCGTGTAAAGTATGAAGGACAAATTGGAGTCTATCTACGTAAGTACTCGCTAGCTCGCGCCTATAGGTATAGTTTTGTCAGCTGCTGTTAGCGTCGGCGGTGCGCAGCGGCCGCCGAAACGCCCACGGACGTGTTTCATTCATATAAGATAATGAATGAACGATCAGTCCATTACTACTTTCCAAGTCGATCGAGTAAAAATGAATATTAAAACTGACACTTTTTTTTTAGACAACATTACAATTGATTTAATCATTTTTATTGGTACTATAGATGATTCCAAATTCAAATATTTCGTTTCCAAAACGCTTTCAAAATCACCGTGTATAATATAAAAGATTATTGATAAATACTAGTTATCAATAATCTTTTATCTTAAAAAATCCTCGCTTATATTGTTATAAAAAATTCATATAATGAAGTATTTGGAACACTGTCGGGTGTAAGATAGAAGAGTGAGCTACATGAAGGTACGTTTTCGCACACAGACTTGCCTTGGGTCGGTGGGGGCCGCGATGCCGGCTCGCCGCCAGCCAGATCTACGGCATATTACAGTAATGATAGATATTATATAGACATTACACTTACCCACACCCTTTCATATTACATTTTAACTGAAACTATTGAATTCTCTATCCATATTATTTACTAATTGTGTGGTGGTTCTCTTATTAGATAATTGTTTTATTTTTTACTTTAAAAGTATGCGACCAAATATTTAATTTCAAAGACTGCAATGATTGACCTGTTCTAATGCAAGATATCGTTTTCAAATTACTAAATAATCGACCTATTTGTGAGGTTTATTTATAAATATTTCAATTACCTATATTACGGCAGTAACACTTTTGAAAAATACCTATCCTAATTTTTCATTATATGTATATATTTTTTTATTCACGATATTTGATTCACAGTTCGGTAGTTGATAGATTTTTATAGAAATAGTAAAGTAATAAATGCGTAATATGTGCCTAAATGCCTCAGGTCCATCAAAAAATTAATTAGTCCCGGTAAATGTTAAGTAATGATTGGATAGGGAGAAATCGTCCAAATTGATATAACGATGCGTAAGAGAGCCGCCACAGCCCTCCGCTGAAGTGAAGTAGGAGGTGGTAGAAGGGCATAACTCCAGGGGTGTTTGTGCAGCAGCAGGCGCGTCGCCGTACTCGATGGGCGCTGCGTCGGGCACGGCCACGCCCATGATGTCGCCCGCGCCTACGCAGGACTCCATGGGCTACTCGCTGCCCGCGCCGCCCTACGACCAGCCGCAACCCGGCTACGACGGCTCCATGGGCTACGACCCGATGCACCAGGACCTCTCGCCCTAGGCCACTCGCACATACTCCTTCACCCGTTGTGCAGGTACACTTATTACTTCTTTTGTTTTATTTAACAATAATAATAAATTTCACTAAAACAGTCCACTGAGTTACATCACAAAAGTAATACTAATAAAACGATTTGTACACTGTTTCATTGAAAAACTGGTACCCATCACATCAACAGCCGTTAATAGTTCACTGCTGGACATAGGCCTCTTCTTAGAAAGGAGGGTTTGGCCTCCTATACCATGTTGGCGAGACAGTTTAGTATAGGGTTTGTGTCAAGTTTTCCTTCTCTTTGCAGTGCTGTTGTCTTGCAGAGTTTGATCCTTTAGTCGGCTTTTACGACACCCACGGGATGAATAGAGGTAGTGACACTCCCTATGTTAAGATTTAACTTCTATTTATTTATTACCAAACTTACATCTATTATGACAGGTTACAAACTCATACAATAGTGAAGCACTTATTATAATAGTAACCTATAATTATTATAATACTACTAACCGAATATATAAATATATTTATAATACTAACCTAAACCAAAAGGTTTAGGTTAGTATTATAAAAAAATATTTAATATAAATAATAAATTATTTTCTGTATGCGATATTTTTTTATTTATAACAGAGTATGAATAGTTGTATTATGGGTACCATCACTCTGAATGACAACAATAAACTTGTAAACTATTGTAGACAATTAATGTCAATATGTATTGGTTAAATAGAGATCCTGTTACAAAAATGTAAAAACAGTTACAGATAAATACATAATTTTTAAATTCACTTGTATGATATAATAAGAAATACAACACCTACTAGCAATTTATTGTAATCTAAGTCTAGTCTACAAAGTTATTGCTGAATACCCAGCAGCCAATTAAATACACTTCTTTGTTGCAGGTGACGGGTCCGACACTTAATTGTGCAGCTTCCACTGAATTGCCATTTACATTACTATTATTACGTTAAGTAGGGCAGGTACTACCTGACGACCGTTACTTACCGCGTCGGCTCCGGTCCCGGACCGGGCCGGCCGCCTTAGCTCATAGATGACATTGTATACTACACACTATACCTTTAACATTAGAGTACATATTCTTAGCGATATTTTTGGAAGGACATGTAATTAAATCGTATTTTTATTTGTATTAATTACTATCTATACGACTGGCACCCAGTATTTGTTTAAACTTTTTATATACAATTTTATTTTTATTATTATAATAATAGTGTATTATAATGATTTTATGAAGAATTTTTTCATATGGCAACTATTTTATCGATGCTTTAGAGGACGAGCGTGTTAAAAAATATTATTGGATATTCTTAAGTGGATTTCCTAAAGTTTGAGCTATCTCTGTATTTACGTTCCTCTTTGAAAAAGTGCAGCAAAAATTTAAGAGACAGAGATATAAATATTGTTTTCTGGCAAGGAGTCTTTCACTATCGTTTGAATAAAATAAACACTTAAGAGGATCGTCTTCTGAACCATCGTTTTAGTATTATTATTTATCGATGTATTTTATTTGATAAATTTGGTTTTCGGAAAGTAATTATTTGGACAGTATTAGTAATTATATGCATCAAAAGGTTAATCATCACATCGATATGGCGAGGATCTCGTTTCTATACGTTCTAATAATCTTTAACTCTACGGTGGATATACATATACGATAGATGTAAGTTGAATCTAGTGTAATATTAATTATAAGTATTCAGATATTTTGTGCTGACTAGTGTCCTACGAGATGCGTCCGTGCATAGTGACTGAAAACCGATTTTATATAATCGACAAGTGACATTTCGTATTTCTACAAATGAGTAAGTTTCGCGCCACAAAAGCTTAATAAAAAAATAGCTATTGGCCTTAACGTTTACTTACAGTCCGTGTAACGTGTTTCCTTTGCATTAACAAGAAACAGATTAGCAATTTTAAGCATGGCAAGTTCCGTTATCAATCAAAGCTGTTCTCAAATCCGATATTTGTTCTTATGGTAGAATTATATAAGCATTTTATACATTAATCTTATTGTTCTCTGTACAGTTGATTGTGTGCTTGCAAATAAAAGCACCAAAACGCATTTTAAACTTATGTATACGCAATCAAATAAAAATATATTCATATTTTTATATACATTAGTTACCGTTCGAACAGATATCGGAGTGTGTATTAGGTACATACTATAGGTATTCTTCGCGGTGACACAATTATGTACGGACGCATAAAATTGTGTGCAATTTTATATATTTTATTAGCAATGGTTGTGTTAGTTATCGCACACGCAGTTTTATAAATGTGGAGCCGTTTTAAAATACCTGTATTTTTTTTATCTGTGGGCTGTGTTGTTCCCATGTATGCTTTAGACATCTATTGCAAGTTGACGTGATTTTAAATTAATAATTTATGAATTTGATAGTCAGCGGGTATCCCACCGGCGGGTATTCTAGTATCTCCGAAAAATATAGTTCAATTGTCTATATTTTTCCTACAATTTAAAACCTAGTATCCTGTTGTCTATCACTTTATTCACGAATGTATCACAGTGTAATAACAAAAGTTTTTATAATTCGCAAAAACAAGGGCTCTAAATAAATAAATACCATTATTCTTAAAACTAAAGTACACACTGTGGCTGAATATTGTATTGCCTTTTTCCTTGGACCCACTGCATGTCTTCGAGACAAGTGACACATGTTAAAATCGTTGATTTTGACACTGTTTTTCATTTTCTGTAATTTACATTGTTACTATTTAAAATACTTTTGTGATGAGTTATGGCACTCTTCGACCTGACAAAACTTACTTGTGCAAGCGAATGTATCAATTTCAGCAAACAGCGGTGTACCAGGAGTTGTGAATATCAGAACAAAATATTTATTTATCGTGGTGCTATGATGTTGTAGCACAATTTTATTTTACGTGCTAGGATTAGTTGAATGTTATTTTATTTCGTCGTACACATTAATCGAAGGAGAATCTGAGATAAACGATTGTAAACTTAGTTCCACTTAGTGATAGTTTGGATATGAAATTGCTAGTGTTAATGTGTTCTAAAACAAAATATCTGAAACAGTATACGAAATAAAACGAAATTTAATTGAAATGTTTAACGCTGTGGAACATTGTAAAAAGCACCGCGCCGCTTGGCTGTACCGCCGTACCCAAAGTTCACAATAAACTATTTATTAAGGGATGTACTGGAGCGGTGCGGCCGGCGCCGGGCGGGGCGGCGCGGTCACACATGTATACGACGACGAGTTCAATGTTATTGCGACCATCTGATTGACTAAATACATTTTTGTGTAGTTATAACTGTTGTTTTATTTATTTATTTTAATTCAATGAAAATGATAGTAATATTGAAACCTTCGGATCTGTGGCAACCCTATTTACTACAAAATTTGTCTAACCGCCGTTTTTTTAGAATGCGGACACCATCGGGGAAACGGAGTCTTAATGTTATTGGTTAGTTATTAATGAAGTCAGTTATTTGATGACAAAGACAAAGCGTGTAGGTTCCCAATAATAGTAAGATAATTGTAAATTAAAAACCCCAAATACGATGTGGCAACTATAAACCGTTTAGGAGTTCCCTTGGCTGGCGCCTGCTTCTGTCATCAGAGGGCCTATTGTGAGTTTATTTCACATCTGTAACACTAAAAGAATTTTTCTATTGGAACCAGCAGATGCTGTAAACTTAGTAGTAGCGCTTCAACCAAACAAACAATCTCTTCAGCCCTTATAATACTTACTAGCTGAGCAGCGCAACTTCGTCTGCGTCTCTCAATAGTAATAAATTTTCTCCGTTTTTGAAACATTCTTCATTGGTGCTCCGCTCCTATTGGTCTTAGCGTGATGATATATAGCCTATAGCCTTCCTCGATAAATGGGCTATCTAACACTGAAAGAATTTTTCAAATCGGACCAGTAGTTCCTGAGATTAGCGCGTTCAAACAAACAAACAAACAAACAAACAAACAAACTCTTCAGCTTTATAATATTAGTATAGATAAGTAGAGATTGGAAAATAATTCCCATTCCAGGTTACCTTTTTTTAAAGATCAATGGCGTTTATTTGAAGAGGGAAACCAATTCAAAATTATGCACTAACTGAGAATGCATGTAACATTTTCGGACTGTTCCACTAGCTGTTCCTCTTGGTGGGGACAAGTGGTTTTTTCCACTCTTCCCTACCACACCGTCACTGGTTGGGATGAGTGCAATTTCATTATCCCTTTTTTTTTATGTTGACGAGGTGGAAAATCAAGGCAGTCTTGTGCGTGTGCTGGGCGGAGTTCCAGTCGTCTGCGCAGTGCTGGCATTGTGCCGTCTGTTCGCGTCCAATCCGGTCCAGGTACTCACCGAAGCAGCCATGCCCAGTAAGTACCTGCGTCAGTCGGTAGGTAACGCGGCCTCCATCCCTACCTACCAAAGCTTCGAGGTTAGGCCGACAGCGCGTTGGCGCGCATTCCGCGGTTGCTCCAGCTGCCTGCCGAATTTCATTATCCCTACTAATGTAATCTGGACGTGTTGTTGTACCGTTTAAATAGAAACAGTTTTCAATAAAATTCATATTCATGCTGTTTTGATAGATATAATATCATAAGGTGTAATATCAAGTTAATGTTATTTTTATCACAAAATAATGTGTAAATCATATTGTCGTAAGTATAAATGAATTCAGGATCATTCTGCCTCTTATTTGCTTTTCATTATGTGTGACGATGTAGTATATATAGAAAGAAGAAGAGGTATTGTGTTGCTTTATAATGGCTATCAATATTCTATTAATATATTTCTTTTTAAATAATTTTATTTTTCATTGAAATTATTTTATTCTCGTCTAATAACAAAATAGGTTTGGTAGGGATAAGTAGAAATGAAAATCATCTCTTTCCAACCAGTGACAGTATGGTAGGGAAAAGTAAAAAAAAATCCCAAAATGTGAGCTGTTCCACTAGTCCCTACTAGTGAAACAGCTCACATTTTCGGGAAGTGTAGGCTTCTGCCATTTTGATCTTGAAGATGACGACGTCACGTTATGCTTCATTGTCTTTGACCTATTATTAATGGTTATATTTTAACGCAGGCACGGATGAATAACTCCCATAACATGAATTCTAAAATAAATTAAACGTTATTTATAACTAAGCAGTGTATGATTGATTGACCTGTTTTAGACTGCATGAAACACAGCAAATAGTCGACCAAATTACGCCGAATATTTCACCAAACATTAAAATCTAATTAATTAAAGTACTCGTTATTAAATGAATGAGTAAACAAGGTATGTAAATAACAATATTTTCAAGTTGTTTGTGTTTACTTTTATCAGAAAGGTTAACCTTGGCGTAAAGAGTGAATCAGGTGGTTTGTCATGTCATCGTGGACGTTAGTAGCAATAGTAGCGCGCGATCTGTCGTGTAGAACACTCGCGTGTTGTAAACCTAACTTATCACTTATGTTAAAGTCGATTGTTAACTTAACTGCTGCTGTTACACTAAGAAATTGTGAGTTCTACTTATAATTGGTTTTTTTAAATACTATGTTATACATATTTAATCTGATTTGTAAACTAAAACCAGTTTGTTTATATTTGTTGACGAAATTTTTAACACTGACGCAATACATTCTACACTATGTGGAAGATATTAAAATTTACATAAAATTAGCTAATAATTATATCTGTACATAATGTGAACGTATAAAATATATTTAAATACAAATATGTACAAGGTAAATCTGCTTGAAAACTTTATATGTAGCTCTATTTCGTATTTGTATCTTTACGCCTTGATTCAAGCTTGTATTGAATTAAACAACTCATACCTACCTTTTGCACTGTTTTGCATTGACACTCAAGCAAGGAGAAAGAGCTACGTCGGAATGCGTTTTAGACCTGCTTAGAGTACATTTATTCGTACCAAAGCGATTTATAGTTAACTAGCTGTTGCCCGCGGCTCCGTCCGCGTGAACGTCGGTTATCGCGGTGAATATTTTTTTTCTCAAGAATCAAAGTGCATACCAAATTTTCTCTAAATCGGTTTAGCAGTTCTTTATTTCCCATACAAACTTCCACCCCCCTTTTCAACCCCTTAAAGTATGATTTCTGTGATAAAAACTACCCTATGTCCTTTCTCGGGACACGGACTATCTCTATACTATTTCTCTGACTATTTTATCTAAATCGACGTTTAAGCATGAAGAGGTAACAGACAGACACAATTGCGCATTTATACTATTAGTATGGATATTTAAAACTGTGTTTTGACTCATACAGTTAAAAAAACTTTCTTACACAAATGTGTCTAAAACAAACAATTTACGGGCCTATTGGTCAAGTGGTTACTGACCCTGACTGCTAAGCCGGAGGTCGTGGGTTCGATCCCCACTAAATAATTGTGTGGTGAGCATTATCATTTGTTCTATGTCTGGGTGTAATTTATTTACCATATGTATATATTTTGAAATATATAAGTGTGTCTATCAGCAGTCTGGTTAGCATAGTACAGGCTCTGCCTAGTTTAGGATCAGACGGTCGTGTGTCTGTGTATAGTAATTATCATTTTTACTCTTCTCACCACTAAAGTAACGTGTACACTGCAATGATATTTTAAGGAAGATACGTTATATTCGTACTGCACGCACACAACATTTGTTAAGTAACCGTACATACATCTATTAATGCATTTTAGAACAAAACATACATTTACCTTTTGTATGATATTCCTTTATATTTATTTACCTTTTTGTCGGTGCACTTTCGGAATACACAGGAAGGCATATTATGAATTTTCTCCATTTAATTAGTACGTGCGTTCGTTTGCAGTGGTCCTGATTAGGACCCTCGCGTTTTGTACGTTGATGACGTATCTCCCTCTTGTTTGTATCTAATATCGTTGGTAGACTGTAGGTAATAGGTGAAAAGTATACGTTTAACTTATTCAATTAAGCCGAAGACATCAAGTAAATAAGAATGTTTGGGGGAAGATTTGGGAAAATTACGAAAATTAAACAACTGGACTTGTTTCTAATGACAGAAGTGAACGTGTAATAAAAAATGACATACAGTTTTTAAAAATATAAGAAGCCTATCAAGATCCAACAACACTCGCTCCTTTCATGTGCTGCCAGTAGTATTTTGATAGGCGCTTGAACATGCCCCCGGGCGTTGAAGGCTATGCTTTCAACCAACTACATCATCTGAAGAAACTGGCAACGGGCAGATCCTATTGAAGGCCCTCCTTATGATTCCAGTGGACGTCCGGATGTCAGCAACTCGAACAATTCCGTCTGATCCAGGGTGTACTGCAACAATTCTTCCTAGCTTCCACTTCAAGGGAGGAAGATTGTCCTCCTTCACTACAACCAAAGAATTTAACCTTAAACTGTCCTTACAGGAGGGCCACTTGGTCCTCTGTTGGAGTTCAGTAACATATTCTCTGCTCCATCTAGCCCAGAAGTGTTGGCGAAGTTGTTCAATTCTATGGTAGCGAGACAACTGATTCGTAGAATGATCTTGTAGGTTAGGTTGTGGCAACGAAGTGAGTGGTCGACCAATGAGGAAATGTCCTGGTGTTAAAGGTGTGTCATCATTAGGGTCAGACGACAACGGTGTTAGCGGACGGGAATTCAAAATCGCCTCTATTTGTGTCAATATGGTGTAAAGTTCCTCGAACGTGACGTTACAATTGCCCAACACTCGCGTTAAGTGATATTTTGTTGACTTGACGCCCGCCTCCCAGAGTCCGCCAAAATGAGGACTATATGCGGGTATAAAGTGGAACCTAATTCCATCATTGGCCACACTTTCACCTAAGGAAACTGCATTAGATTTTAAAAATTTTGAGAGATCGTTATAGGCACCGACAAACGAGGTACCGTTGTCAGAATATATATTAATGGGCTTTCCTCTTCTCGCAATAAATCGGTACAATGCTAATAAATAATTATTGCTAGTTAAGTCACTTACTAGCTCTAAGTGTACTGCCTTGGTGGTAAAACAAATAAATATCGCGATATACACCTTTACTAGCCTGCATCCTCGACCTTGGCGACTAGCACACATGATAGGGCCGGCATAATCTACGCCTGTACTTTCAAACGGGCACCCGGGAAGGAGCCGCTCTCGTGGTAAATTGCCCATCAAAGGGGTAACTACATTTCCCTTCATTCTACGGCATCGTATGCATCGATGGAAACTGCTTTTGGCTAAATTACGACCACCAATAGGCCAATAGGTCTCCCTGATCGAGGCTAACAATAATTGAGGACCCGCGTGCATTAATCTCTCATGCTCATAATAAAATAATAACTTAGTAAATTCATGATTGGATCGTCACCATAGATTTAATCCTAGGACGCAAGCTACTGACCGTCTGAGACTGAGTACGCGACAGTTCTAATGTTTCGATTAAATCAGCACGAGAGCGCAAAAACTGCACGAAAGTAGCCAACGTTTTTACGTTGTCCTTTTCTAACCTACTTTTGTGCTCCTCCCACTCCCTAAATGTTTTATGATCCAACTTACGGGTGATTATATAAATTAACAGCGTGTCCCAGTGTTGAACTGGCTCACCCAATGACTCAAGCGCACGTAAGTTTTTATTTATCTGGTCTATTAAGCCCTTTAAATTAGCTGATGATTCTTTGACGATAGGATCTATAGTAAATAAACCTGACACATGATTTTGCACCAATAATTCCTTATTGTCGAAGCGGTCACATAATGTCTTCCACGCCACAGAATAGTTGCTTGCTGAAAATTCTATAGATTTAATAACCACAGCAGCAGTTTCCTCCAGACACGCTCGCAAATAATGAAATTTGTTTATTGCGTCAATCTCGTCATTGCAATGAATGAGGCTAGTAAACGTGTCATGAAATTCTAACCAGTTAGTGTAGGAACCACTAAATTTAGGTAGATTTATAGTAGGTAACTTAACTGGCTTATGTGTGTTGCTACGAACAGTCTTATCACTGCAGACAGATTTGTCATCTATGTGCATACTACTTAATAAAGTTTGTGCCCTAGATAGTGACTTATAATATAACGACTCAAATTCTGAGCGTTCAGTGAACTGTACTTTCACATCGTCTGTGACACACTCTAAACGCAACTGTACCTCGTCATATCGCTCGTATAATGATTCTATCTTTCCAATACGCAACTGCAGTTCCGTGACATCAACACGGCTTGTTATTTTGTCACCCAACTGGTCAAGGTAATTTATAAACGCAGTCAGGCGGCCGTTGAAGCTACCTCGCTTTTTTATTAATTCCTTTTCCTCAGACATTGGGAGACGGATGTCGTCAATCTGGAATTTATACAAACAAAAATTGAGACAGAGATACAATCACTTATTTAAATACAAGCACAACACTAAGCCCCTAACTATGTATAATTAAACTACCGATATACCTACATATAATACATGTCTAGAAGTGAAATAAAACTAAACTAACAGATGTTTGAAAAACTATATTCAGGTACATAAACCCGATGTGATTACATATGAGACAAAGAATTAACTTATTTGTGATGTTAACTAATAACTATATGATAAATAATATCTAATAATTAAATAATATCTACTCGTAATAATTGTACTGTGCAAGAACACCTACCGGCTCATGAACTATTAGACTGTAACATCAATTAAATAAAATCATGTAGCATGTATGCTTACTTATACCGTATAACTTATAGTTATTACAATATAATTCTATTTAATTGTGAAAAGCTATAAACTATTACAGTTAACTAATAATAAAAAGTTGTAAAAATCGGCATGTGATTTAATAATGACTGACGGTACATACATAGGTAATTTACAATAGATTATTTACTGACCTTGTAAATCTTTTATTAAATGTAAATACTACCTGTTCGAGTGTTGGGTAACGATATTATTACTAAATAAACTTTAACACCACAATAATCTTCTTGTATACGAACAATCCACACCGCCGGCTAAATGACCTTTTCAAAGGTTGCACCCGACGATTTGTTATTTTCAATTTCTCCCAAGTATTTTAATAATCTTCCTTTTAATACTTAATAAAAACGATTTATCCAGCATCCAGCTCGATAATGGACCATGTTTGGGGGAAGATTTGGGAAAATTACGAAAATTAAACAACTGGACTTGTTTCTAATGACAGAAGTGAACGTGTAATAAAAAATGACATACAGTTTTTAAAAATATAAGAAGCCTATCAAGATCCAACAACACTCGCTCCTTTCATGTGCTGCCAGTAGTATTTTGATAGGCGCTTGAACAAAGAATGTCTCCAAGAATCAAAAAATACACACATATTAGACGGTGAAATGCTTCTACGATAGGAGGAAAATATTAATTTATATAAAAAAACGACAGTTACAGTAAGTTCTCTGCCCTTCCAAAATAGATGTGTTTGACCTGTGACTTAAGAGGATATCATTGTATTAAAATTGAAGCAGAAGTTGTTTACATTTTGTCTCAATATTGCCATAAAATACTAAAGCTAAGAAAATACTAAAGATATTTTTGAATATTGAACTTTTTGAAATGGCTGTGCCCGCGACTTATGCTTAGATAGCCGAACAAATAAATCAATTGTTATAACAATTGATTAATTTAGACGTGATAATAATATATACAGGGTTACTGGTTAAGTCGACCTTCATACTTTACGCCTTAGGGAGTTGTAGTAGCCATTATTTCTAATAAATTTCATTATGAAATATCATACATCCAAACCTAAACATTTTAAAGATATTGGTAATGGATATTACAAAATGATTTGGGTTTTGATAGTTTGATGTCATTAAGATAATCAAATAGTGCCTTTTGACTATTTATTAGTGAGGATCTACATTAAATATTTGAATGTTTAATTTTACAAAAATAGTTTGAATTTTCATTAACCTAATAGAATAATGATGTAAAAGATCGGTTCAAAATTCGACAATTAGTAACGGATACGGAAATGGACACAGAACATTGTTTCCTTCGAACCTCAGATATCCGCCGATACGAATAATCACATCATTAACATGTACATTATAAATAAATATATTACTCTATAAAGTTTAAGTTGACTTGTGAAAAAGAAGTAAGAGTCACGTTGTTCTCACTTGTATTTACACTACAAAAAAATACTTATTTTTAACGCGATAAGATAAGATTAATACCAAAATAACAATAATATAATCGGTCTTGATAAAATTTTAGTAAGTTGTTAAGAGTCGTTTAGTCATGAAACGTAAAATTTGACTGATGATTTTAGTGAAGTCAATGTTATTGTTATGGGTTGTAGCTTCGAGGATGTCGAGTGTACACAGCGCGTGGAAGGAGGAGGTCCATGACGTTCCCATGTCCGTCATCATCCGGCCTTTCATACCGGAATTGACGGAAGAAAAGGTCTTGTCCCTCATGGAGACTATACAGGTAATTAATGTTATTCAATAATCAAATTCCATCGAATATCTAAATGATAAGAATAGGTCAGGTTGGACTAACAATTCCAAAACCATAAACAGTGTTAAACGTTACGTCACTGGATGGGGATGACCCACTGGATGTCACTGGATGAGTTTTAGCCTCGCATTACCAATATAAATAAAGGAAAAAAAATGTCGCCTACGGTGTTTTCGAACTGAAACGACCATCAAACCTTTAAGAAAATCCGGATAGGCGCGGCGTCGATCTGGGGGGACTTGAAATAACGCGGTCCGGGTCTTTCTCAGATTAGGGCGCATGAGACCGCCTGACGCGGTGACTTTTAGTGGAAACAACAAAAATCAAATACTCCTGGCTCCTGCTTCCCGAGGAGTAGGAGATCCGAAGGGAATTTCACGCCGTCAACAATGTTCAAGTCAAAAGAAGGTATCAAATGCAATTTGCCTACTTTTCCAAAAGTACATATCTCATACTAACGATTGCCCGATCAGGGCGATCAGTAGCTGGAGCACCGGTTAGGTAACCTAGTTTGTTTCCAGTTTAATACATAGGTAGGTACAATATTCTTGACCCTGAATACAAGTGCGAGCACTAAATGGCTGATAGTTACAAAGAACAGATACAGACAGAACAGATGTTTCTAACAGATAGTAAACCCTGGCCTAAAACTAACCTAACTAAGTAAATTTCCTGCCTTTTTCCAATGTTTGGAGTCGACGAATTTGGAACACTGCTGAAGGGTTTGAATGGTTTCTTTAATGGCCGGCGGCCTGATGCCAGCCATTTTTGCAATGTAATCGTTTTCAGACGGGACAAAGGAAAAATAAGTAAGGAACGTATGAAGCGAGAGCGTAGGATAAGGAATATTGCTTTTCTCAGATGGGGAAGTGGAACTGGGAACTCAGATTACAGTAGCACGAAGATGCCGGATCCGTTTGGGTACTCGTTCTGTGATGGGAGCGACGATTAGGTTATAGGGACATCCACTTATAGTGACACCCTCATAACCGACTGTTGTTGGCACGAAGTTCCTTATCGTGCGTTACACGCTCTCAGCGGTTGACGTGACGAACGGAGACCGAAAAATGTGTAACGATACTTTTTTCGACACTTCCTGCGGCATTTCGTTTCGACCGGGGGTCCATAGACCCCTCACGCCGTTTTTCTTATTGACCTACGATTATTAAAAGACACGTTTATAAAATATGAAAGCTTTGAGGTAACTTATCTAGAAAAATATTTATGTAATATATGTACTGTTTTATTACACTTTATTTAAATAATACAAAAGGTCATTGTAATTTGTCAGAAAATTATCTAGAGGTGACCAGCTATTTACAGATAAACATATCTTAATTTGTACAAGTACAAAACATTAGGAAGAATATATATATAAGACGTATTACTCACGTCAATGGTAATTTAGTTTATTTACAAATAACAGATAAGTTATTAAGAGATATAGCTTATTTATGATCGTGAGGTCCATTTTATACCTAAGATATACTCTTAGGTATGCATTTGATAAGTTGATTTTGCAAATTCGACGATAAACACCTGTAAAAAATGGATTCCTTTTTCACCCTAGCCATGAAGTCTAGCATTTTTAATAAACTTTTCAAATATACAATTTTCACTTACTGATACAGAAGGAGAAAGAAGTGGGCAACGTACCTCCGATCGACATCCTCTGGATCAAAGGCTCGGAGGGAGGCAACTACTATTTCAGCTTCGGCGGGTGCCATCGGTACGCCGCGTACAAGCGTCTCAACCGACCAACAATTCCCGCCAAATTAATCAGATCAACCGTGTCAGATTTAAGAACGTATTTGGGGAGTAGTACACCGGATTTGAAATAATTAGCGAGAAAACCGATCAACGTATTAATGTTTGAAAAAATATGGTCCGACTTGTACAGTAGTGGATTAAAATGCATTTGCACTTAACTCGAACTTAAAATTTCCCTTTGCTTTTCTGTGCGGAACTCCCCTCGGATACCACCAACTAGTGGGTGATGCTGTCGCACTCGAACTGACCAAAAACCGCACGTCGTCTTCAGGTACCAGTAGCCGGGGAATCAGGTATACCCTAGAAAGGAAAGCCCTGGTACCCCGACGTACCTCGGGCCATCTACAGCCAAGTTAAAATATACCTATATAATATATATGTAGTTTAATATTTTTAAGATTATTAAGAACTTAAAGTATGTTAAGTTCGGGTGGAATACATTACAGGTTGTTAAATACAATATTTAAACACTTTTATTTATACCTACACTGTCTACTGTCGGATGTAGACAGATTAAAATCTGGAATTCTTAATGGTCGGCGAATGAAGCAGTTGCCAGGTTTTGATGCAGCATGAGGAAATATTTCACTGTTGTTTTATTTAATACTAAACGGACTCCGGTAGAGAGAAATAATCATTAGTGCTACAAGTAGAGTGAGTGAGTACTGTGATTATTTTCTTCAGATACTATGTGCTCACCGTTGACCTCCGGGACCTCCCGTTTGTGCCTGACACCAGTGTATATTATTATTAAAATAGTATCTACCTACCGACCGCAAAAAGTTGTGGTCAAAGGTTAGAAGCATTAATATGAATGCAAAGATAAGTAGTTGATTTAGTAGGAAACGTGAATTTTAAAAAAAGCTTGGTAGGTCAGTTTAACAAGTATAATTTGGGAGTTTCAATATAAGATTTGTGTGTGAATTCAAGTCACCTTAATGGTTATTTTGGAAAAAAAATGTGAAAAAAATGAATAAGATTACCAGTTACTATACCTTTAAAGTTGCCTATAACATGTAAGGCGTAAGTGTATTTAATGTATCAACATAGTTAAAAATAATAATATTGGTATATTAACACAAACAACATAGTTAAAAAAAAAAAAAAATTGAATAATAATGATTATTTTTCACGTGTTGCATATCTGTAATAGTAAATTTATTAAAAATGATTGTGTAATAATGAATTAATTTGTTTATGTTTACCTTCATGGTATTGAACAAAAAATTTCAAAATTGACACTGCGTTAACTATTTTCTGACCGGTATTTTCTGAGATGGTATGTGTAAGGGTATACAACAATTTACCTAAACTGTAATGTTGTATTTATAATATAGTGAGGAACAGCTAAATGTATTAACACATTTACAGTTTGTTTGAACGCGCTAATCTCAGGAACTACTGGTTCGATTTGAAAAATTCTTTCAGTGTTAGATAGCCCATTTATCGAGGAAGGCTATAGGCTATATATCATCACGCTAAGACCAATAGGAGCGGAGCACCAATGAAGAATGTTTCAAAAACGGTGAAAATTTATTACTATTGAGAGACGCAGACGAAGTTGCGCGGCTCAGCTAGTATTTAATACAGTAGTTGTAAATTTTGCTTTAAATAATTATTGCAAAATAATTTGACACGAATTAATAATTTGCTGGGTAAAAATAATAAAAATATTTATAAAATAATGTAATTTTTGTCTTTCGTGCATTGTGTTAATTGAATAAGTTTTATTATTTCTATATAATCTATATAGCTAGTATTGTATTGTTATTCGTTTTTGTATTTAAACTGCAACAATCTGAATAAAATATAGTTGAAATAAAACAATCAGAGTTCATCGACAGTGTATTTATTTGTGGATTCTTACCTAACTACAGAACAAGGATATGCCAATTCTGTATATTTACAAACGTGAACATAAATAATATCAAAATACACTTTTTACTCAAGTAAATGGTCACTGGAAACATAATGAACACAAAACTAAGTTAGCACCAACAATCCATACATGCAGACATTTAACACAATATTTGCTATTATAACTAAACTTAATAAATTTTACAATTTTTATTATTAAAGAAGCGGAATTCGTGCAGTGGTAAGTCTTATAAATGTTTTGTATTGATTTAAAACGAGTTAAAGGTCAGGATTTCGTCGCATCTATTTCTAAGAATGTATAATGTTCTATAGAATAGCGCCTAACTTTTAAAGAGAAATTAAAGATGATGATTTTCCCAACTAGCACGTCATTTGTGAAAGAAATGTAAGAACAAATTTCTTCGACTCGCTTAAAACAATACTTATGAGACTGATCACAGACTAATTAAAATTTGACTCCTATTTGTAATTAATATCTATACCTTTTGATCATGGGACTCGAAAATACATTGCTTCCCATTCCCGAAAGCATTCTAAACTTAAACCTAGTACTGTCTAGTACACAAGTAAACTTTAGAATTTTAGATTCTCTTTTAAAAGATAAAACTCAAAGACACCGTTCACTGATATCATTAGACTACCTACATTTTCAGATTTGTGACGTCACCCATGTATTTAGAAATATGTAGTATATTGAATATCTCTTATAAACTTCAGCTTACTATATAGATGCTTTCTGATGGTTTAGCAATTTGTTTGTATTTACTTTGCCGTAATTACATAATTAAGAACGTTTGTTTACTGTAATGTCAATTAGTAACATTAATTTAGTCGATTTGGAACCATCGTTTTAACTTATTCTGATTAATAATTTCATTCATTGACATGATCTTCCAATTGATGCCTACTAACAAATTTAGTAAGGAGGCACCCATTAGAAGGGCATGTAGATTGTGTTCATGACTGAAGCGAAGGCCTAAGAACGCGTTATTTATGTAAAGCATTCATTAGGCCAACACGCTAAGCCAGAATGCGGACTTGTAGATAGTCATGCTTATTCTTTAGTAACTTAATTGCGCATGTAGGCATATAAGAGATATTACACACATCCAATAACGAAATACATAATGTATCATGACTAAATCATTAAATTCTTTTTATGTACGCGTAAATTAATATATAATATCTACAAAAGACAAATCAAACCGACTGGTTTGCTGACACAGCGTTAAAATGTAACTAGAGATCATAAGACGCTGTTTATATTAATTTATATATTTTGGCACTGTGAAGTATATAAAATTGTCTATTAGTATTGGGTGTAAGAGCTAGACTATGTGGAGACTGAGGATTGTCATTTAGTTTTTTTTTAATATGTTGTAGGTAATACACAATGTTTTTAATATTTAAGAGGATTCAAAATCCTGGAAGGTTTTTGACTACAGTGAATAGTTTCTCTCAGATAGACGTGTACAATCTTTGCATTTATAGTGACTTTTTTTCTTTTGTGTTGGTAGACAAATTCCTACTCTATTATTCACAATTTTGTGTGGTGAAGGATTAAGAATATGGAGTGTCACCACCCCTATTTATCCCGTGGGTGTCGTATGAGCCGATTAAGAGAGCCAACTACGCAGGACAACAGCACTGCAAAGAGATGAAAAACTCGACACAGACCCTATACCAACCCATCCAGCCATCGTGGTATAGTAGGCCAAAACCTCCTCTCTAAGGAGAGGCCTATGTCCAGCAGTGGACTATTAAAGGCTGTTGATTAAATAAAATTTAATTTATTTTTTAATTATTATTAAATTAAAATTTGCATCAACAGCCAAGTGAGTATGGGAATCTCAACAAATAATAACTCACTCTATTGACCGCAAATAGTTAGTGTATATGTACCTACAACATTTGGCATTTATAATTTAAATGATGGTTTTTATACCTACACTGTATTCAGATGTAATTACATAATTAAGGACGTGTGACATGGCATGCTCTTATTACAAAAAAAGAAACGAGCGAACCTTAACTGACATCTCACCTATCATCTGATGGCTGAAAGCTAACTCTAAAAGATTCACTCGCTCATTGGACAAATCAAATAACCTTGCCCAGCTTCCTGTTACTCACATCCGTCCCTTTTCCATGAGAGCGAGAGGAAAGATATTACATATAACATGTTAGAATGAAAACAATGCGGTGCAAATAACATCCATCACTTTGATCTATACGTCAGCTGTTTAAACGTGACACATCACGCGCTCCCGGGGCGGCGGTCCAACTAAATAGAAAAAAAAATATATATCTATTAATTTACAACAACCATATTAATTCTTCACTATATTCTCAATATAATATTTTTATTTTTTTAATCTTACATAACTTCCGAAACCCTGTCGCCATGGACAAGTAACTATTTTTTTTAATAGATATATTTTTTTACTTCACAACTTTTTTATAAAGCAGTTTTTACAATATGATTACATTGAGAGATACATATATATTCAAGCATATATTTTAAATTTTATTTTATTTAAGTGGCACTAGTGTTTACAAGATACATTTAAATACATTTAACATTCATTTTATTTAATATAACTTATTATGTCAACGCGGAAGTGGCTATGTAACATTGATTAATGAAGATTATAGTTTTAATTATTACACATAAAGAAGTCAGTTTTAAAAATCCTAGGGATGTAATATTTTATTGCATCAAAGAGCTACTTCGTTACTGTAGTAGATAATTATAATTATTTAGAAAGTGTAAGCAGAAGAAGCCACTTCCACCTTTTTTTTGCATTTTATATTTGATAGTATTTATTACTATAGTGTACTTATAAATACTCATATTCTAGTTCGAAATTAATAATCTATAACCCAAAACCTTTGTATGCAAATTTCATATTTGCTGAATATAACGGCATCTTGAGAAATTTTATTTTAGTGTTCATTGAATATTGGAAGTGATAGTCCGTTGTAAAGTAGCCTGTATTTGTATTCAGATAAGATAGATTTTGGATTAAAAAGATTATTAATTTAAACTCTTAAGACGTGGCAGGAGAACATTCATTGTGCACGACAACTTCCTTACTCATTACTAGATACGTAAAACATAAATATTTGTAGTTCAATAATATTTACAATGGATAATTAGTCAATATTTTATATTTTTAGTCATATTTTGTTT